ATACTAACTTGGGCTCTAATTCTATGACTAATTACCGCTCAAAAGCGAGATCTATTAAGTATAAACTATTAAGTTTGCTCTCAATTGGGCCAACTTACGCTCCCTTCGTATTGTCTTCTTTCAAATTATGTCACTCACACGTACAATGCTTCATGTCCATCTACATGGGAAAATAAAAAGACCTTAAAGGAAGGATAATGTTAAGATTCACCAAATCTAGCAACCGGATTTGGTTCCCTTGTTTATTTTCTCCCATTAAATAATAATAAATCACCCGAAAATGGTATTCGTTGAACTAGAATTTCATAATCAAAGCATACCAGTATGGGAAAAAAACGTAAATAAAAAAGGAAAAGTCATGGAGATAATACAATTATGGGGTGCAAAATATATTTTTTGACTAATAAATCTTAACTTAAAGAAAATGATTAATTTTAAAAAAGATTTTAAGATTAAAATATAAATTTTTTCAAGAGTGTGGCAATCATATTTTTACACACAAATTCAATGATGCCAGGAATCAAATATATATGATTGCCACATTTACTTTTTTTTTTTTAAAGAAAAAAGAGTGGACATCTAGAATATGTTTTTCATGTCCATATTATCATGTAAGAATTTGATTCTTGAAAGAGATCTCAAAAATTAAATCTCTTGCGAGTATCGATTCAAGTGTATGAACGATGTATACGAGATAGTAAGAAGACGGAACTGAATCTCTAGTGAAAGAAACTAAAAAACAGAGAGTAAAGAAATCATGCGAAATAACTTGTATTTTGCCACTGTTGGGCTGGGTACCAATTGTGCCGTTGTTTGTTTAAGGTTGATTGGTGGTGCTAAAAAATATAGGCCTAGTCACTCATCCAGTTGTCTTCAGATCCTGTAAAAAATTCAGGCCTTTAAAGTTTTTGTGTAGAATTGGAATTCCCATTTATCTTCAAAAAGATAAAATTCTGACGGGACGAGAAGGGACATGGATCCTTTCCTTTTCGTCTCTCAATTATTGGGATATTATGGCTTTCGTGGAGACTAGAGCATCCTAGTCTTGTCTTCTCGTTTCCATTTTTGTTTTTTGTTTTAGAATTGTCAGGAGAGAATAATGCAAGGGAAAGCAGTGAAAGAAATAGCTCGTTCAGATTTCGTTCTTCTCATTTACAAGCTTCAAGTCCCATCATCTTCTTTCATTCTCAGTTTAGGGTGCATTTCCGAATATCCTAAAACCAGCCAGACAAGATATAAATTCAGGCCTATCCTGTAAAACGCACTACTAACAGATTTGGGCTTTCAGAAGTAATGGATTCCCACATAGCACTCTTTTGATGCTATGGAAGACAAGAAAGTACCTATTGTTGTTTGATTTGTCCAAATTGAACATGATGCCTGCCCCCATTCTCATCCCACCTTCATTTTATTACATCATGCCACTAATGTAGCCATAAATGGCCACATGAAGGCCCTCTTGTTTTAATGGTCCCACCAATAAGTCCAACAATATACAGTTCTCATTAGACATATTACCCCAAAAAAATTTTTTTTTAAAAGAAATTTTTTTTGTTAATTATTGACTATCCCTAGTTAAGTAGAACGATACAAATTAAATATAGAGTACCAATTTCAAAATTATAATTTCAATGAATTTTGGGTATAGTTATTCAATGAGCTGGCATTGAGGATCTCTGAGGAATATGGTGAATCTAGATCTAGCTAGTGTAATAGATGGCTCTTAAAAGGATTAATGGAAGTTTAATTAGTAGTGCCAAATCCACCGAAAAAGTTATGTGTAGAATTTTTATCGCCAGACATTATTTATGATGATGAAATTGGATGTGGGGCACTGATTTTCCACATTTTCTAGTGATAATTTTATTAATAAATATAGATTTTATATTTTTTTCCCCAGAAACATGCCGATTATGCAATATTCATTCATAATTATAAGGGGGACTGCTACGCTATAGAAGGATCTTTCTTCACTACGTTTCTATTGTTTAAATTAAGGCCAATTCTTCTGGGCATATATACTCCATTGACATAGACAAAAGCCAATAAAATAGTTATATATCACTGGGGTTCTCCAATATTAAAGAAGATGGAAACCACAACGATAGCAGCGGCCCGTGTGAGTGGAATGTTTAAAAGAGAGATTAGGACACAAAGAGACTCCCAATAAGAGCAGTTGACCGATAAAATAATGAGAGAAGGTGGCATTCGTGTGGAAAGCACACTCCTTTCATTTACTAATATTATCTCATTGGCCAACACCTCTCTCTTTCAACTATTTAAGGAGTGCTCTCCGATTCAGCAATCCATTATATATTTTAAAGTTTTAGATATTAAGGTTTATTTATTTATTTTTAGGGTAAAGATATTTTTGGGTTAATTTTTGTTTGAATTGAAACTAATTTTTTTTATTCTGAACTATTTTAAAAATGATTATATTGATTTTAAAATTTAAAATTTATTAAATTAAGAAAAAAAAAGAACTATCAGACCAATCTCTTAAACTTACTATAAGAAAAAAAAATCTGAGCTATGGTACGACTTACGAATATGATTTTTTAGATCCGCTGACTACTAAAATGATAGGCATGTAACCTTGCCGGGTTTTTATACCAATGGGTAATCAATTACCACGTTCATTATGATACTTCGTAAGGAAATTGAAGTTTCGACTTACAGTTTCGCTATTATCCCCTAATTAATCGAGAACAAAGGGAGGAAAAAAATCCCTCATTCTTAAGGCTTTGGCCCATTTTCGAAAAAGGCAGAAAATGAGTTATATATATAAATATGTGCGCTTGTTTGCTTGCTTGAATTGGTGGTGATCTAGCTTTTGAATTTTGATAGTTATGTATTTGTGTTGCATTTTTACAAGATCATGTGCATCTTGTGCTACGTACCTATAAATAACTCGACGAATGAGACAAAACAACGTTCAAGATGAGTCCATTGCCTTAATTAAGACAAATTCCTTTTTATCAAAATGTTATAATAATTTAAAAGGCAAAAGGTTGGTTGGTTAGATCAGTTTTTTTTCATGCATGATTACTTACTTTTTTAAAAGATGTTACTTTTAATTCTGCTTTATTCATACTAATTCAACTATTAATTTAAAAATAAAACATTAATATTATAAATTAAATATTAAATTTATGATTGAAATTTATATGAAATCTTTTATTTCTATCAACTATACAAAATAATATTAAAAATAAATTATGTTATATATTTTTATGAATATTGTAATTTAACGAAACATCATTCTTTTACTAATAAAAATGTAAAATATAAAATTTGTTGGTATTACATATAAATTTTAAGAGTTAGGAAAAATATATTATAGCATTTGATGTTAGTGAATTTATAAGAATTTTATACCACGCTTGAAATCCATGATATTCATTAATAAAGTAAAAACTTGAGTATTTTTTCTTACTGTTTATAAACAAATAAATATATTTTAAATTTTAGATTAAAAAGATAATTAATTAAATAATACGAAATTCAAGGATTCCTGGTATTCTTGAAGGTATTCTAAATCTCAAAACTGACCTATATATGAAATATGACATCTTCTTAAATGTGAATGAGTGTGAAAAACACAATTTTAACTGTCGAATATTATTAAAAAAAATATCTCAATTAAAAAAATTAAACTGTTTTATAATACATCAAGAAATGATTTATATTGTTCAGTATACATGCATGTCTAGCAAACCTGTCTATAATCTACAGAGTACCACATTCCTAATGAGAAAGGAAAAGAAAACGTATGGCTTGCTAGCTACTTAATTTTATGAAACAACAGACCACGTACGTACCTTTTTGTTTTTTCCAACCTGATAACATAAAATTCTCAGATTGCAAATATAATTTAGGAAAGGAAGTTTTGAAACGCTTGCATTTGTTACTTTCCAAGTATATATTTGCAGTTGTTAAGATGGTTGTTTTTTTTTTTTTGCTTTTGTCTTGTTTCAATAGTCATGCTTTAGTCATGACTTCCATTCTGGTATAACTGCCTTAAAGTGCACCTCCTCTTCTAGGGGACGTACGTAGGTAGCTGGAGTTCTTATGTTTTCTCTCTTCTTGCGTTGGCAAATAGTTAGAACATTAATTTCTTTGATTTTTACTTATTTTCTTTGCTTGCCTATCATTCTTTCATGAGTACTGTTTTATGATTAACTCTAAATCAAAATTAACCTTTTTCGTTTTCTTCTAATTTTCTCAGGAGTATAGTGGGAGAGACAAGAAGTTAGATTCCCGGCGACCTGAGATTCAAGTTCAAAGGCCTTTGAATCTTAAGTAGTTTCCATACTTGGTGGTTCTTAGGGCACATGCATTTTTTTTTCCGGCTTGATATCGATGAGTTCAGGCTATGTTTATAAGGTTAACTTTGAAGGCAACTGAGGGTAATACATCAAATGACTTCACATTCACGTACAAAAGCATCCCTTTTTCCATATAAAAAGTTTCCCAGTTTTATACATCTTTGGCATTTCAGTTTTCTTAGGCAAACCCACCATTAATGATAATATCACTACCACATCATGAGCAGTGATTAATATATGAAGTAAACTTTCTTTTTCAATTATTTTTTATTAAAGTTTTGTTGCATAGCATCATCAACATGTGTGTGTATATATCTTACTGGTAATTAATTTTTCTAGCAATTTCAATATATTTTTTAAATTACTAATATTGAGTAATATGGTAAAGCATTATCCTATACATTTCCTGAAATATATACGTACTAAATCTAGTTGTGAGACCACGTATAATTGGCATCTAAAATAATCTTTTTTGGATAAACGCATTTTCTTTCCTTAGTAGTGGACATTCCCCCACTTAAGTTTGCCTAGCCTTCCAGTACCATAGCGAAGATCTTCCTCTATATATACCGATCTTCAAGACGTGTGTCCTCCACACTTATCCAACCTTCTCCTCTTTACTGCCTGATTATTCTAATAAAATCTTCATCATTTTCAATCAACTTTTCTTCCATGGCAAGCAACCAAACATCCCTCAATGATGCCAAATTCGCTCTCCCTATTAACGATGTTGAGCAACAGGCAAATCTAGAGATTGAAACCGGAGACTTTGACTACTCAAAACGAGCACAATGGCTACGAGCTGCAGTCCTTGGAGCCAATGATGGTTTGGTCTCCACCGCATCATTGATGATGGGTGTGGGGGCTGTGAAACAAGACATTAAAGCCATGATACTGACAGGGTTTGCCGGTTTGGTAGCTGGGGCTTGTAGCATGGCAATAGGTGAGTTTGTGTCTGTCTACTCACAACTGGATATTGAGTTGGCCCAAATGAAAAGAGACAAACAAAAGAGAGATAATGGAGAGAAAGAAGGGGGAGAGAAGGATAGTTTGCCAAATCCATTGCAAGCAGCTGCAGCTTCAGCTCTTGCCTTTTCAGTTGGTGCATTAGTGCCATTGCTAGCTGCTTCTTTCATAAGAGAGTACAAGGTGAGGCTAGGAGTTGTTGTTGCGGCTGTGACCTTGGCTTTGGTGATCTTTGGGTGGTTAGGGGCTGTGTTGGGCAAGGCACCAGTTGTTAGGTCATCACTTAGGGTTTTGGTGGGAGGATGGTTGGCTATGGCTGTCACCTTTGGTCTAACCAAGTTGATTGGATCCAGTGGACTGTGAATTTGCAACACACTCTCCCTTCTTGTTTCCTTTCTTTTTTTTTCTTTTTTTTTTTTTTCATGCAAGTAATTTCCGTGCTGTAACTAAGTTGTTTGTCTAGTTTAATTATTTTCTCTTCTCCTTCTCCTTTTTTTTTTTTTCCTTATTTTATCTGGCCGCTGCCGCTGTGACAGATCGGACGTGACGTTAAGGTGGGTTTGTATTGTAACATTAGGAATAGAGGCCAAGGAGGGGAGTAGAAGAATGGATTTAATTATATACTACTAGTAAAGCAAGAGCTCTGATCTCTTTCAGTACTCACATTTGTGAAGGGAACATTTAACTTTAATTACACAAATGGAATGCACACGTTTGAGAGGTCTAATATTCATCTTTCATTTGTTATTATATTTCAATAATCTATATTATATATGAGCCCTTCTCATAATTATAATATGACGTAAGACTATGGTCTCTTTGGTAGTGAATTAATTTAACATTAATCAATATTTATAAGGATTACGATGATAGTTGCTATTTAACTAGCTAGCCAGCTCAGAGCATGCGATCGATGGACTAGGTGATTAGATAATTAGTTGATAATCTCTACCTGAAAAGAATCAATAAAAAAACGAAGAATCATAATTGATCGTTATATTTCTGGAAACAAATGAAAAGAAATACGAACGATGAAATATAAGCATTTACTCCTCGAACATCTTAAAATCTAAGTGAAATTTCGCAATGACTTAGATTCAAACCAACTAACCAATTCTTGCGACTTGAGTCTTTCTGAATTCTTAAATATTAGATTGAAAAAACTAAATCATTAATCTAGAATACAAATCCCTTTGCATGGTGACATGAAAGTAATTTTCTTTTTTCTAATTAAAATCGAATTAGAATGGTTTATAATTCATGAATATATAAAGGTTCTGGTTCAATAAAAGTGTTTAACATACAGGCACTATGTACTTTTTTCTTTCTTTCTTTCTAAAAATAAAAAGAGAACCCACCTTATCACCACAGTACATACGTTCCTAAAAATTCAGTCCAATTGGTTAAACACGACATGAATTCACAAACTTGGCTGAGGCCCTCTCCTTCTTTATTTTTTATTTTATGGCGAGAGATACCTTTAAATCAATTTTTGCATATTAAAATTAAATATTTCAATAATTTTTCAATTCGTTTAAAAACAAGCTATCCACCTCAAAATTAAAAAAAATATATATATATATATATGAAAACTTTAATTTTCATATAACTTAAAATTTTAATAATCAAATCAACCTATACCATTACAATATCAAGATAGGTAACGGTTGATATAGATACAGGCAATAGACTAAATCAGTAAGTATATATTTTCAACTATGAAAATTTACTCAAAAAAAAAAAAAAAACCACTTCAGTCAGTAATAACTTTTTTGAGTAATACCAATTTATTTATTAGTAAAGGTTAAAAAACCCAATTTATTTTGAGACTATTTTCTTTTATCTAACTCAAACCATATTGTTCAAATTTAAATGACACAACATGCATAATTCTAGCTAACAGCCAAGAGACAAGTGACTATTATTTTACTATAAATATCAACTTCACTTCAAATGTGAAGGGATCCAATGTTTTCGCTGTAGCATTTTGGTGAACAAAGTTATCTCACTCTCACCTTACATGACTTGGAAGATTTTACTTTGGATTTTGATTATTCATTCACCTGCCATTTCATTTGTGTATTAATTACTAATATTGTTTATTCTTCTTCTCATGTCTTTCATTATTTATATTCATTTTATTTGATGATTGAATCATTGTTTATACAAATTACAATACAAACTCTTGACATATTGACTGGTTTATTGACTTATTCTAAGAACTCTTTACGCAAATATATATATACATATCTTTGCCCTTATTTATTAACGGCTAAACCCACTAATTGTACTTTGTACTTTTATAAATCTATCAAATAAAACTTTATATTTTCAATTTCACTCAATTAAATATGATTTTGTAAAATCAATAATTTTTATATGTTAATTCAAATAAAAATAACACTATAAATGTATAGAGTGGAATCCACATGTAGTATTTATACATGTGTATATTACATTTTTATTTAATCTAACATATAAAAAATATTAATTTGGCAAAATCGTATTCAAATGACTGAAATTGAATATATATATATATATATATATATATATATATATATATATATATATATATAATTGATCAAATCGAAAATACATGATCTTATCTGATAGAATTATGAAAATAAAAATTGCAAATAATGGGTCTCTCGTTTATTAATCAACGCTCTACAAAAAAACACTCATATATCAGACTCCATCAACTCTCTTTTTAAACCTGAAATAACTTTAATTTGAAGAGAGAGAACATATGACATAGGTGTCATTTGAACGACCACGACCTCATCCGGCCTTTTTCTCCATATTTAGTTATGTAGTTATAAAGCAAATCTCCATGTAATTAATGTCTCGTACTTATTTGGATTTGTAATGCTCCCTTTCTGGTTAAAACTGGGTTGGTAATTAAGGATGACAGCTGCCTTGAGATGAAAAGATACAGCTCAAGATGATACTGCTTTCCTTTTCTGCATGTTAAGCACCGAGGGTTGAGCTATCAATATTTATAAGTGGATAGAGGGTGGGTCAGCTAATTAATTCTGTTCATGGATTGTTACCAACTTCTTAGACTTGTAATTTTTCATCTTTCATTTTCAATTATCTTTCTTCTCTACAATGTTGAAGGAAGAATAAGTGCCTTGTCTGTAGAAAAATTAGAGAGATCAGATGTCAATCTTAAATCTTCGAAGATGGTAGCTGTCAAGTCCATCAAGGTATGTAGTACTATTCAATTACAACCGATCTCAACATTATTTCAATTTTCTTTTCTTTCTTTTTTTTTCGTTAACGAATTTAACCTGCTTTTTTTAAATATGAGGGCAAAGATTGTAAGCAATTTACTGAGATAATAATAATAAGCTTGATCACATGGCAAAAATGTTGTTGCAGACTATAAATGGGGACATTTACGACTGTGTGGATCTGTATAAACAGCCTGCTTTCGACCACCCTTTGCTCAAAGATCACAAAATCCAGGTTAATTATAGTATTGTCATTACTTGAAGGTCTTAATTTCTTTTTCCAACCAAATAATTAATACCAAACGGCTGCCATGTAACAAGGTTAATACTTTATGTATGCATAACTTTTTTATTTATATAAAGTTTTCCTATTTATAGATTTTTTTTTTTTTTTTGCTAATTATAGTTTAATTACCCCTCTAGAAACTAGAATCAACATTAGATTTGAATGGCAGGGCATTGGACACAAATTTTTTCGCATGATACAATAGAGGAATTTTATATTACTTAATAAGTAATTATCAAAAGTTATTCTTTGAGTACTTTAAAATTTCTCCAATATAATATGTATATCATTATATAGGAATAGTAGTTTTAATTGAATTTAAGTTCTCACCTTAATAAAAAAATAATATATATATATATATATATATATATATACATATATTCTTTACTGTCCTCAGAAGATATAAATTGCCGAATGATAATCAATTTTATAGCTCGTATATAAAATATGTTGTTCGAGCAGATGAGCCCGAGGTTTGTTCCCCAAACGGATGTGTCCAATGCAACAGTCAATGGACTCGCAGTCGTTTCTATAAATGTTGTTTTGGAAGTTAATTGTCCTTCAGGATCAGTGCCTATTCGAAGGATAACGAAGGAGCAAAAAATCCGAGCTAAAGCCAGCTTCAGGAAACATGTTCGAGGTTCTTATCCTGTAAATGATGGTGGCCCGGAAGGTTTCATAGTAAGTTAATATTACCTGTTTTTTTTTTTTTAAGCAAATAATGATAACTGGAAATACTCCAAAGTTTTTTTATTACTACTACATGTTTTTTTTTTTCCAAATCGCTGTGTGATATTAATATTCCTAGATTTCATAGCATGCCTAATTAATTAAAGATGTAGTAGTAGCTAAGGAATGAAGTAATTAATTAAGGCATATATAATTTGCAAAATATTAAAAATGCAAATATCAACTTAGTTTGCAGGAATTGCTACAGCTCAAAAAACGGCTACTGTGTACCATGGCGCAGCAGGATTTATCACTATAAGCAATCCAACGGCTGGACCTGGGCAATTTAGTGCATCTGTGATTTCAATTGAAGCTGGTCCTCCCGAACAGTTTGGGGTAATTAGGATTGGCTGGATGGTATGTCCTCTAGCACATTTCTTTCTTAATTATCATTTGATCCCTACATTTGTGATACCTTTCAAAATACTCTTGCTCCTATTCTTGAAGAACGAAGGAAAACAAATTCAAAATGCTTTTTCTTCAGGTTAACATGGATCTCTACATGGACAATCGCACTCGACTATACACAATTTGGGGTGTATGCATCCGGCTAATCTTTTCTATCACAGTTTGCTCCCATTCCTATAGTATGTAAATTTTGGCTATATATTAACTTCCGACTCTTACCTGTTCTCGGCATCAGCAAGTGATCAACGGAGAGATCCATGGCTGCTACAACACATATTGTTCTGGTTTCGTCCACACAAATCCCAGAATCCCACTTGATATGGTCCTGGAGCCAGTTTCGGTCATTCGTGGACAGCAATACTATGTCAAACTTGCAGTAACTCAGGTAACAAATCTAGCACGGGGCATCATGTTACACCTTTTCAGGTGTAATCAATATATAGAACTGAAGAAAAATTCAACAGTTTAATTCTGCATTTTGAATATTGTTAAATTGGCATCGTTTTCCTTTAAGATCCTCATCCATTTCCTATCAATATTCTGCTGCAAATTTCGCGAGCGAGTCAAAATCAATTAGCCCCAGTGATTACTGTAATTGCCAAAATCTAAAAGCAGAAAAAACTAGAAGAAGAAAAACCTGCACTTTTTAATATTTATACGAATTTGGATATAACTATTTACAAGATGACTTTCTTACCTACTGTGATTGCCATTTCGCTGCAGGATAAATCAACAGGGAATTGGTTGCTCTGGTATGGAGAAAATGGTGAACAAGTTGGGTACTGGCCAAGCAAAATATTCATCAATCTGAAGGACGGTGCAGATGTTCTTCGATGGGGAGGAATGGTTGATAGTAGCACACCACAAGTACCACAAATGGGAAATGGTGACAATGGTGAAATCCATAGCTCTAAAGTTATGCGTGTTGCTCTTACATATGAATCTCAACCATCTTTAAATGGCACCGTCGATGTACCAATAGAAGTTTGGAAAACGAAATGCTACAAATCTGGAGATAATTCATACAAGGGTGAGTACTGGGGATATAGTTTTTATTTTGGAGGTGAAGGAGGAGATGTAAGCAGGTGCTCGAATTAAGCAACCAATTTCTTCTTCATGTAGCTTGATGAAAAAATAAGGAAAGTACTCATGCTGAGGTTTATTTCTTGGCCTAAAAACACTAATCCCCCCAGACCAAAAAAAAAAAAAAAAACACACCTTTGACCTACAGGGTATGCTTGAATTGTCAGCAGAATGACAATAGTTCAAGTGACCTCTAAGTTCTAAGCTTATTGCACATGGAAAAGGTTCTTCGGTTTAACAACCACGTTCCAATCCTGAATAGACAGATCATCCTGAACTTTTAGAGTTCGGAGGGCATCAATTGTGATTGATGCCACTAGAATTAAATACTAATAAACTATATATATATATATATATATATATATATATATATATATATATATATATATATATATATATATATTTATTTATTTATTTATTGAAATACTAATAAACTATATATATATATATATATATATATATATATATATATTTATTGAAATACTAATAAACTATATATTTCAGCAAAAAAGCTTACCCTATGATTAGCTCTAACAGCAGCGTTGACAGTCTTGAAATGTGGCTAACAAGTTCATGATAATTTTCAAAATACCTGCCATACCATCTTCGCTGCTCCTCAGGATTGGTACCAACAATCTACAAAATCACAGAAAAGCACTCCCCTGTAAGACTAACTCTAACATCTAAAGAGTAAAAGTTCATGAAAAAACATCAATTGCAGGCTGTTTAAGATAACAAAAAAATCGAAATTAAATAGGAAAACCACGTCATACATTAATGGTCACATTGTGAACTCTCCTAGCATAATCAACAGGTAGCTTTTTGTAGATAGCAGAAATCCGGCCAATCTTAATAAATCCCCTTTCAGGAATGGATAGTGGAGTACGAACCTGTGTCCAAAAAAAAGAAAATGCACATAATATTAGAGGACTGTAAATCATATAAATATATAACCTTACAGATACCCAAAACTTAAACCTAGAATCCGTTGACCATGTATGCATATTACCAAATGTGATACTGGAAGACTTCGCAATTAAATAAACCACGAATCTGATATTGTTTGAGGATTAGATTACTCATTTTATGTCAATAAAAAAATTCACCCTGCCTGTCATACCCCAAAATTTTTAGCGACACTGCCTATTATACATGCTCTCTCTCTGTCTTGCGGTGACAAAAAGGCGCGGGTAATATCTATATAGCGAAAGAAAAGAAAACCCGAAAGCTGAAGATTGTTAGTTAAACCTTGACGAACATCAACCCCCAAGATAACTGAGTCATTTAGGTTGAAAACACAGTGTGGTTAAATCTAAAAAACGCATGGAAAGACTGCTTCATTAAGCACCTTACGGGTCTCCACTCTCCATTGCGAATCCAATGCAAGTAGTAAATCGCATGAATAAGAACGGACGCCGGTTTCTGAAGCCAATTAACCCATTACTTACAGAAACGGATTAAAAAAAGAAAATTCTTACAATACCACATTAATTCGGACACAGCTCTTCCTAATTAGAATCAAGAACTTCAGAATTGCATTAAAAAGTCCTCTTGGACCATAATCCACCAAATGGCCATCTCTTGTAAGTTGCTATTAGGGTTTTGATTTGCTTGCATCCTTAAAAAAGTCAGTTAGGAAAGGACGTCCCGGAATGTCCAAACAAGTCAGTTGGGCCTGAGGGAGTGGGGACCTTGCTTTGGTGAAACAAAGAGGACTCTGAACTAATTGCCACGTATGTAATCCCTTTTTGATCTAATGAGTAACTTCATGGGCTGGGACTTGGGACCACGCAGATTTCTTGTCCTGCCTTCCGGAATTTCGTTGAAAAATGCTTCCAAGTGAAAACAAGAAGGCAAACATAATAATAATTTTTTTTAAAAAAAAAAAACAAGACTACCTGCTTGGAAACCCATCCTCATTAACAAAAGCAAAACATTATTGTTCCAAACGTGATTGCCCAAAGTTACATCAGGGCAGAACCGCTGATATTATTAACATGATTATGCAGTCTTTCAACTTTTTCATTGTGCCTTCACACGATGTCAGCTGCAACAGTTTACAAATCCATCGAGTCAAAACATCCTCTGTTATTCTAACTTAAAAGGTTTCCTCGTCAAAATGAGAAGGGGTTGGCACGAATCAGCCAAACAACATTTGACAAAAGTCGACTATGATGGCAAAAAATACAAACAGGAAATGAAAGTCGTGTTTCTGACAGCATTCCCTATCACTTCAGTTTAGAGAGTAGCTTTGGTGCAACCTGCATATTCCAAAATGCCGAATTTTGCTGATGACCCAGACCAATAATAATCTAAGAAAGCATCAAGAAGTGAAAAGGAAAACTTACACACTTATCAACACAGAACCAGTAGTCAAAGTACTGCCCAGTACAATGTTTGTGGCCACTGTCATCTCCTTCAACTCTCTTAACACATGCCTGCAATAAGTGGAACATCATTATACTTACAGTGGCAAAATAAACACTCAAGCTTAAAAAAATCCAACCAATTGAAACATCTCATTTCAATTCAGCAGCGACCAGTGAATTTCAATCTATACTGCCAGAAACATGCTAGCACCCACAGGGTTCACTCACTTCACTGTACAGAATATCTGCATACCCATTACCAGCAACAAAATATCAAGAAACGTACTCTCTTGTCAAGCAGCAAACGATTGAACATATTGTTAAAATAGTTAATCCCATGGCCCAAAGTTCTTGTGTATGCATGTATGTCATGACCCATAATTAATGAATTGACATATAAAACAATAAGTATCTGTCATTTCTATTAGCTCCTGATATAGTTTTCAGCACTTGTATAAGCATAAAACAGTTGCATTCAGGAAGTTTCAGAAAGTATAACATCTACTAATAGCTTTGGAGGGTATTCATGTCAAATGACCGGAAGTCATGGAGCCAAGCATCATATACATTAGTTATCAAGACGTAGAAATGAAAAAATGAGAAGGAAAGCGAAAAAGAATTAACAAGTTAAACTGTGAAAATGCTTCACCTCATATTCAAGTAGAGGCTTCACACACTTCGGCTTGCAAGAGTCCTCAAGATACTTCTTTTGATCAACAAGTTCCTCGTCCGCCCTAAATTTAATTAAATGAGAACAACAAGTGCATGCATGGGTAAGACATGAGAAAACTTTGAAATGCATCTCTAACACAGGAATAAGCATGTTTGTGAATTTAGCATCCATGTTTTTGTGCACGAGAAAAACATAATGTTGGGCCAAGGAATATCCAATTATGGATAAATTTCTTGGTCAGAAACAAACGAAATTTATCTTCAAAATAATACATTTAAACTCAGTATGAATATACTTAAATGTAATAAATCAGCCTTTAATAGTTTCTTAACAAAAAACAACAATTCTTATAGGTCCAAAATCCCAGTTTATGGCTCCCACGCCCCTTGATCACGTCTATAGATTCGGTACCATACAAAACATGACAAAAATTTGTTTCCCTACGGCTTTCATCCATATAAACAACATTAAACCTTAGAGCTGAAACTGAAACCAACACAACGACACTTAACGGCTAACTCCATATTAATTAATCCAAATCCATTTTGGTACATTTCAATTAGATAATATCAGAAATGCGCAATAAAACAACATGGTGAGCCAAAAGCACATCAAAATTCTAATATACCCAGATTCAATTATGATTAGCAGTAACTTAAAAAGATAAATGGAATCAAATACTCACATGTATTAGTACTAAAAGGGCACGATATGGTGGCTTGCTGTGTTCCCTGCATAGAGGACAGCAATGTATTTAATTTTAGATATGGACGTTAATAGCTAGAACTTGAATTTTACATCAGAATACGAAATTAAAGGAGAAATTGAATGAGAAATGAAGGATAATTTTAATGATTGAAGAACGGATGAGAACTAAAGAACCGTACCTTTGGTTAGACTTAGAGAGAGATCACATAGATCGGCGGCGTGATTGTTCGTTCAATTCTGCAAATAAAGCCCCTGCTGATCTTAGTTTGCTAGTTACTGCAGAGATTCTGGGCTGATTTGGGCCCATTTTTGTTGGGTCATAACTGGGCTCCTTTTTTGTTGGAGAAAAACGTAAGACGAAGTCTATCTGCTCTGCGGGAGTGGACAATTTCGCATCTAAGGTTAGGACTGATTTGCCACATGTTCAGGTTGTTGAAGATTCACATTACAGTGGAGTCCGAGGTCCCCGTGGTTTTGATTTTCAATCACAGTGAATTCTGTGGTTTCAATAATAGCTATTGGGTCCTTTATATTTTTAATTTCAAAAAAGTTTATTAAAATCAAAATTATTTAACTTGACATATATTTGAACCAATTTGTGCCTTAACCAACTCCTGCATTCTACTAAATGTTGAAAATCAAGAAAGGGAGCAGACAATGGACAATATTGTATTAAAAAACTAGATAGAAAGATAATTTTGTTGCTAACTTATAACGAGTTTTTTTCAATAACAAGACACTTTTAAATTTTATTTATTATAATAGGATATTTTTAAATTTATTTATCAAAATAAAACACTTTATGTTACACAAGAACCATTTCATTTATATAACTTGACATGTCAGTTTTTTTAAAATTATTTTGTTAAATAAATGTTTTTATCATTACATGTTAATCTTTTTTTTTTTTTCCTATTTTTTCTTTTGTATAAGTCTCTTGTTCTCCTTCTTCTTCTTCTTTTCTTATCTCTAACTTTTTTATCTATATCATTAATTTTCTTATTTGTTCAAAGAGAAACAGAAGAAACCCCAAAGAAGAGAAGGAAAACCGCTAAGACCAAGAAAACCAGCCACCCAAACCAAACTACCTGAGCTAATTACACTGAATTATCAGAGATGGTGGATAAAATAAACTCAAATATACAATCTGCTTTTTTCTCTCTCTCTCTTCCTGCCATTGAATGTACTTTGGAAGTTTGGAAATGATAGCTGCGCATTATGGGGGGTTTCCGTTAGCAGTGGCTTAACTTTGTGCTTATTTTTATACTTTATGCAGGTATAACTTTGGATGGAGCCATGGGAAGGAGAAATAATGACCTAACAAAAGAAAATAGAAGAAACCCCAAAGAAAGGGATTTTGAATGACTTCAACAGAGACAGTACTAGGAGTAACAAAATAAGAAAAGAAAAGGAGAAAAGAAGGGATCTTGGTTGAGAGAATTTAAGAAATTAAATAAATAAAAACAAAAAAATTTAGAAAGTACTTTAATTGACCATATTCATATGCTAAAGCACTTTTTTTAATAATTGTGATTTTAAATTATAAGAGTATTTGAACTTTAAAAAATTAGGATAAAGACAAAAAAAAAAAAAAAAAAAAAAAAAACAGAGAAAGCTTAAGTTAATTTTTTTCTTTTATGTTTCTAATTTTTTTAAATTATTATATTAAATATATATTACAACACTTAACTAAAAACATGATATGGATGTCTACATGTCAAAACAATCATATTTTTATAAATAAGATTTAAAATATCTTATTTTGAAAAAATAAATTAAAAAGTACCATATTTTGAAGAAAAACTCAACTTATAACGCTGGCTATCTAAAATCCTTTTCGGACAAGGTTCTGTTATAGAAATTGAAACCACGAAAAACCTTCGCTGCCACGTGAAGCGGAGGATGATTTCCAACCTTGCGGTAGTGAAGAGTCTAAACAAGTCAATCTAATGAGCAGGGATTCTGCTAGACCGTGGACCAAAGAGGATGCTGAAATGAATGCCTTGTCGAAAAAGCAAAGGATCTGTCCAATCAGTTCCTAATCTAGACAGGACAAACTATGAAGTGGAACCTGAAATGAATTATAGGAATTAAATTGCACTGGCATATCATATCAAAGGTGAGAACTCGCGGCAAATTTTCCCATGGCTCTTTGAATCTATGAACAAATACTAGGAAGAGAACTAGACGTGAAAACATCCGCATCATCTAATAAATATATAAAGGTATAAGCATTGTTATATTCAAAGCAATATATCGTCTCAATCTTTAAAGTTTCAACAGGACCTCACATGATATCACTTTCCAACAACTTGCAACTTGCAAGGCGATCAATTCAAGACATATTTGTTATTCTGATTCAAAAAAATACGTTCGTCGATCAAAACAAAAGGAGGTTGCCCCAAATGAGTGAAATGAGCACAGGTTCTAACATTTCAAAAGATACAACAGGAAATGGAGGTGCCCTAACAGCATCCCTCCTACTTCAGTTTTGAAAACAGCTTTGGTGCAACCTGCATTCCAAAATGCCAAATTCAGTTGATGACCCAAATCAAAATCAAAATCTAGATGAACTTTGAAATAGTGAACGACAACTTACGCATTTATCAACACAGGACCAGTAATCAAAGTACTGCCCTGTACAATGTTTGTGGTCAGACTCGTCGCCTTGAATTCTCTTAACACATGCCTGTAATAAATGCCAGAGAGTTATATGCTTTCAGCCACAAAATCATATCCTCAAGTTGAAGAAATATCCATTCAGCAGAAACCAATAAAAGAAATGATGTCTTTCAGCAGTAACTGCCAAAGAAATGACTTCTAAAAGAGACAGAAACTCAGGCACCAACAAGAAGCGCGCCCATGTTTTGCCAACAAATTTCAAAAATAATCTTCTCTTATCAAGCAGAGAAAGATAACAAACGAAGTACAACAGGTGATCCCATGGAGCCAAAGTTCTTATTGTTTTTTTTTTTTTTTCCCTTCCATAATACATCAGATTTCAGAAGTCACCGAATCAAGATGGCATTCATTTGATATCTAGATACAGCAAAAACTAGAAGACAAACAAAAGAACTACATGTAAACAATCCAAAATTTTCACTCATGCATTCTATCAACAAGTTTGAATCTGAAAATCGTTTACCTGATATTCAAGCAGAGGCTTCACACATTTAGGCTTGCAAGCTTCCTCAAGATACTTCTTTGGATCGACAGGTTCCTCGTCCGCCCTAAATTTAATTGAAAGAGAGCAAATGCATGTATAGGTGAGAAACAGAATAGTTTGAATTGCAAACAACGTTCAAAACTATGCAAGTAGATAACTTTGTTATCTTCCCTGACACGGGTATTATCATGTCTCTATATTGAACGCATGCATTTGCATGAACATTGTGACATACATCTCTCCAAATATAACTATGCAACATACATCTCTCCAAATATAACCATGCAAGTATAATTTAACAAACAGCAAAACGAAGTTCTTGCTTAAAACCAATCCAACAGTCAATATCAGCAATGCAAAATATCTAAACAAGTACAACCATTCTTATATCAGTTTCTAATGGTTTCTAAACATAATTACTCCAAATGGTTGCTATAGGACACTGTCGTTGACATTCCATTGGTAAGGAAAACAGCGTCATGATCAAGACCGTAATACACCATACCCAAAACAGAAAAGGCGAGAACATAAGTATAGATAGATATGCCCATCATCGCTTTCTAGGAGATTTTATTACATAACAGAATTACAGGAAAGACGTCTATCTTCTTTATTTCATTTACTTAAATACAGGGAAAGAACTCCCTCTTTCAACCTCGCCTACCCACACACAAAAAACATTATTGAATAAAGCTTCAGCTTATCACAAATATACCCATTAGATTGGTATCGTCCACTAATTCCACCCTAAAATCCATATATTTCATTTACATCAATTAGTACATGATTTAACAAATGCCCAATGAAAAATCACATTTGACCAGCAGTAAATTAAGAAGGACGGAATACTCACATATATCGGAACTAAAAGGCACCGTAAGACAATTCGCTGACTTCCCTGCAATTATTTTAAACCAATTATCGTAATACTGAAGAATGGCAATAAAAATACGAAACCAACAGTGAAATTAGCAAGAGTTGTGAAAATAAAGGATCGAGGGTGGGAGATTGAAATGGTAGTAAATAGATGTAAATAAGAAATGTGAGAAGTAAAAGAAACCGCACCTTGGTCAGAAACTGGGGAGAAACGAGAATCGGGAGATTGACGCAGACAAAGCGACTGCTCGTCCTCTAGGATTTACTTTTCTAGAGAGATCTAAGACCTGAGACTGTCCTGGGCCTGGGAGGAGTAATGGGCTTGTCTTGGTTGGACTATAAGCCGACTACAGAAAGGAACCTATATTGACCCACTTCACCTCCCGGTAATTCGATTATTTATTATTTACTCTATTTTGGGAATTATCAGTTTTTTTTATTTATTTGAATAGTTCATAAATAACTTTATAATAATAAAAAAGCTACAGGATTTGTTAACTTCTGATGGGCTCCACCAATCAAATAGCTCTCAGTTTTCTTATCATCTATTCTGTTGTTTTTTTATTTTATTTTTTTTAGAATCTATTCTGTTGTTGCTTTTCCTTTTTGTATGTGTGAAAAAACGTTAATCAAAGAATAAATATAATGCACTCTGGAAATACTTGGAATTAAAGGAGAAGGCTACCAACGTTAATCTTGGATTGCACTGTACTAGAATGAAAAAAAAAGAATATGGGAGGAAAATTAAAAATGCAAAATCCAATATATTACAAAACTATGAATCCAAAGCATACACATTTCGTTTGCTCAACCTCCATTTCTGGCACGAGCCTTGGCACGCCCAGAACCTTAAGCAAAATGAAAGAAGAAATAAATAGCAAGAATTGAACCAAGCCATACTTAGCAACTATCAGTGATTAATGCATTAATTTCACATTACGAAGTCTCCAAAGTTAAGCTACTCATAGAAGCTTCAATCCAGGTGCAGTCCTTGTTTGTGGCACAAAATGTTGATGCTGCTGATGATTCTGACGAGAACGTGAAGGCAGGAAGAGATTAGATCCATACAAATGACAAGACTTTTGGTGTTTCTGCCCGAATGAGGCATGCCAAAGCCATGACCCTGATAGACATAATTTTGCTCCTCTTGTTGTTGATGTTTCTCTAACCCGGAGTTTATTCTCACTTGACAGTTGATCCTATGCAAGTCCCCACCTAGGATGAAACAAGAGCACATGTTTCACGTTTGCCTGAGATACATAGACTGAGATAAAAACATCCTCTCCTGCTACTCTTTTTCAGGCCCCAATCCCACACTGGAAACAAGGGAGGAGATCTATCTCAAAAGCAACTCTCCAACTAGGGAGTTTTCGGTCATGGGCGCAACCAATCACCCAAAATGCTAGCTGGAGTTGCTTTTGGAGTCATTGGGCCCTGCATTTACACAGGTTCCTTCTATCCCATTCCCCATAAGGGGTAGACGCTCTTCCTATGCATTTGATTCCACCGGTGGATAATCATAAAACTGATCCTTTAGATCCTGCTCGATAATCCCTTGCATCGACGTACCAACCCAAAGGGTTGTCATGCTTTCATCCTCCAGCAGTTCCAAAAAGGCATTTCACCTGTCTTGTTGGAGCAGCCAAGGCCACTGAATTGTTCACTCTGCAGGACATTGTATTCATAATTTCAATTAAGCTGCTTAAATGACTTGGAGCACATAAGAAGTTATGTTTAATATTCACACACTGCTTTCTGCCATCCGATCAAACTTATTTTCCAGGTGCAGTACTTGTTTGTCGCACAAAATGTTGAAGCTGTTTATGAGCTATTCATAGATATCAAAAGGAGCTTTCCCAGGGTATTTAACAGATGCCAGAGATTGTAGGACGTTATTCTTAATGAGATACTTTCCGTAGAACTTAAAAAACAAAGAAACACCAATAGAACATACCACTTTTCCATTGATAACATAAAGAACAAAGAAGTTAAAAAGATAAAACAACCATGGAGATAGAGCTTAGGTTCCTCGCAACCAATATCAAGTTTCAAAGGAAATTCTGGAACCATTACACTCTTCAAACAGTGGATGGAACAATGCTTCACGAAGTCAAAAACTTCAAACCAGGGTATCAAACTCTGGGCACAAATCATTGTAAGAACAATTCATGTGTAAATCTCAAAGAGGGCCATGACATGATCAAATGACAATCTCCTAAAGATATACCAAAATACGCTCTCAAATTCTGTTCAGAAGTGCATAATCCAGATCATCCTAGACACTTTTTTCGTACTCCACAATTACTTCATAAAATATAAAGCACTGAACAAGAGTTCTGAATATATATCCCTAGCCAAGAACACTAAAAATGTGGATCAGAAAGACACTAAATGAAGAATGATAAGCTGCACAACTTTGAGCCATTTCAAAAAAAAAAAAAAAATAGATACCTGAAGATGTCACGGTGCATCATCATCAAAAAGGACTTTATAAAACCGTTTTCTTTCTTCAGGGTCGAACAAACCACCCAGCTTATCACCACTATCATCATGTTCGGTCATTTCATTGCTTACATCCTTCCTTTTCTCTTTCCTTTCAGAAACAATGCCTTTCTTCTTCTGCTTTTCTATATTCAGTTCATGGCGCCTCTGGTTATATTCATGGAGCCCTTCCTGCATCAATTCCCCAAATTTATCCTTCACGACAACAATTGGATCCTTATCAATCAATTCTGATCCATTATACCCTTCTCTAAGAAGAACAGTATAAATCTGATACTTATTCGACACGTAAAATATGCCTGGATGCTTAAGAAGCAAAATATTCAGATTCTCGGATAAATTAAACTCCCGTTGAAAATGACCCAGTTTCACAATTGACATCTTCTTCCATAATGTCAATGACAGCAACTCGTGCACTAAACCCACTATTCTTTTCTCCATCTCCTTCGAATCTTCCAATAAACCTCTCGAATCCACATAAGGAGAAATATAAGGAGTAGCATTGAATTCATGAAACCTTTCCCATGATTTAACCCAAGTGGAAGGCAAAGAACAACTAAAAGAAGGCGTAGAAGAACCCTGTTTTCTAGCCGAAACTTCAACAGCAGAAATTGCCAAATCAGGGTTCCATGATAAAAGTTCAATCTCCATTGAACTCCTTCTCCCACTATGATTAACAAGCCTAAACATATCAGGGTATTTGGGCAAAATCCTAATCAAATAATCATCAGGGAACCCGAGATTTCTCTTTAACTCGTTAAGTTTAACAACATTAAGCCTATGATTCACACTCATCATCAACAACTTGCTCAATCTCTCGACAAAGACAGGTTCTTGCATTTCTTTAACAGACTCTTCCTCTTCCACTAAAAACATCATTCTCTTTGTTAATTTACAAAAATACTCGTCGTTTTGTAGATAAACATCGAAACAACAAGGATATTTTTTAACCCAGTTAAGTGCTTTACCTTTAAGGTCTAAAGTCTTGAACTTTTTTGAAGAAACTTGACTGGTGCAGCCTGGTTGGGGTATCTAACAATTATGTTTTTAATTTGATTATTGACTATCCATCTACGGTTTCGTGAAAGAGCAGACTCGAGATCTGGGTCTTTTTTCATGGACCAAAGTGAGAAGTTTCGGTGGAGAAAGTAAAAGATTGATGATGGAGAGTTGTGTTTGTAACTGCAACGATTTAGATTGTTGAGAAACATGGCGTTGATTAGACCAGTTCACCGGCTTCAGTCCGTTTTGCCTGCCTTTTCTTGTCGAGCCTTGGTCTGGTTTACCTTTACTTCTGTTTTTGCTTTCTACCTCTTGAAGAATTATTCAATATATCATAGTATTATAATTATAGAGATGGCTAATTACTATTCACCCACGTTCAAGTGGGTTCAATGACAAATTTTGATCATTCTCTGTTGCGATTTGGGAATTTCAAATTTATATTATCAAATTTTGTAATTTAAGTAATAAAGTATTAGAAATTAAAAAAAAACATGATTGAAATGGAGATTGTGTAACAGTAGATTAGATTGATCATTTACTTGAAATGTCAAAATGATATCTTTTTTACAGTATGTTATTAATTGTGTTTTTAAAAAAATATTTTTAACCTCAAAACTTTTTTTCTTATAAAAAATTTATAAATTATATTATAAATATTTTTAACCTCTTAATTTTGAACTTGTTTTAAAAAATTATAAAATATTATTGTAAAAAAATATAATTAACAATACACAATTTTATGCCTTAAAAAGACATTTTATAAATTAAAATAAGCATAATTAAATGATGGCTCTCCTGATTTTATAAATTATTAAAAAATATTATATTATTTTATAAATAAAAGTTAAAAAAAAAGTTTAAAATTAGAAGGGTTAAAAATATGTTTAAAATTTTTTTATATAATCTATAAAATATTTATTTTATAAGAAATTTTTTAAAAAAATTAAGATTAAAAGATTAAAAATATTTTTAAAATATTTTATTAAAAAACATAATTAATAATACAATGCCAAAACGGATATTGGATAATTTGGACTATGTTTGTTAGATCTTTAATATTTTAGAGTTCAAATTATGTTGTTCACTAATGTAAATTCGAAATTATCAAATAGTAATAGAATAAAGACAAAATCTATCATTAAACCCACTCGTGTGTTTTTCATTTGACATTAGGGTAATTTTATCATGTCTATTATTAGCATGGCATTGTTATAATTTTCGTCGTATGTTCTTCTATTTTTTAGTATTGATTTGATTTGGATTTTTTAGTAAAAATGCTTTAAAGTTTTTGAATAATAATTAAAATTAAGAAGCGGGAGGGGGGGGATTGATTGTTATACATGTCAATTATATGTATGAAGACCGAAAATATACGGTTTAGAAATAAAAATACTCATTAAGAAGAAAAACAAATAGAATCCATGTATTTTTTTTAATATGATCAAAATTAATTTTATAAGTGTTTTTAATTGGATATTGACTATGCATGTACACACAACACACGTAACATTTATTATTTAAAAAAAATTTTGATATTTTAAAATCAATTTTCCTCAAATAAAGTAATTGCTATCATGTTTTAAAAAATTATTTGTTGGCACTATTCTTTTCAAATAAAGTTTTTTATATTAATATTATTGATTATTTTGAAAATAAACAAACACATATAGGTTTATATATATATATATATATATATATATATATATATATATATATATATAACCTTCTCATTGATAATCAAAAAGGATAAAATCCATTTTAATTTTTTTATTTATATACAATTTTATTTTTACATTAATTGTTATTTTGTTTTTTTAATACAATCTTATGAAAAAAAAATGATTAAAATTATAAACACACATATATACATTGCTTTCTCGGTTAATTGAAACTCGTGCTTTAAATTATTATAAATTTTTATTTAAAGATCTATGTGTAAAAAAAATTATATTTTTTTAAAGAAGAAAATCTATTAGAAAAACAAGAGAAAGAGTTGACTTAGTGTAAAATTTTGATTAAAAAAATCATAAAGCTAGGTGTTTTTTTTCTTTTGCTTTAGATTTCCATATATTTTAGTGAATGTGTAGCATGCCAAAAACCATTGAATTATAATGATTTTTTAAAATCATTTCACGTGTTCTACCAACATTGCGCAGGCAACCAGTTAATGCATATACTAAAATGGAAAATTTTTGTTGTAGCTAAGTCCTACTTACAGTAGGCACAACGACGTTGTTTTATATAATTTTGAGTTGAAACAATATTGTTTGACCAAAAAATAAGTGGTTCTTTGTACAATGTTTGCATTTTTATTTTTTGACATTTTGATCACTCGGGTGCTACTTTTGTACAAAACAATTCATGAACCCAATTTGTATTACAACTACTCCCTCCTTTTTTTTTTTTTTTTTTAATGGCTGAGTTGTGCTTCCAGATGCATCGGCTCTGTTATCTCAGGCCCATCTGGAAGGGCTTTTTTTCGGCCCTTTTCTTATGCTTTTATTGTAATATCGTCCAAACCGGTCCCTAAACTTAATTTGTGTTACAAAAAAATTCCTTTTTTTTTTTTTATGTCTGGATTGTGCTTTTTTCTTAATAGCTAATTGTTATTTTTGTATTTTTTATAGACTCGTTGAATAAAATTAAAGAAATCTTATAAAATAAATTGATTTAGCACCCTCTTCTAATTTGATTTAAAAAAAAAAACTAATTGCATGTTTTCTTCTTCTTTTTTTATTGATTAATAAAAATATTCATATGATATATTTGGACTTGATTATAGAATATTAATATTTATTAAATATCTCATAATACAAAATAAATTAAACAAATTCTCACAATTAATGTTAATTAATTTTTATTTTACGTCTAGATTTTTTAAATTATATTAAAAAATTGAAACGCCTTATATATATTTACCCATAGTAACGTGTGGGAACTATGCTATTCAAAAACTACATTATTTCGTCTCATAAAAAATATATAACTCGTCCTGGTATGTCTAATAATTTTTAGACGAAAGAAAGAAGCTAGCTTGGAAAAGTCCACATTCATATGTTAGTGAAAGAGTGAAAAATCAGACTTTGGCATTAACTGGTTTTATACTGCAATTTTTCCCGATGATTCCATATTGCACTGGGGTTTGATTGGTCCTTGGATTATGAGATGGCCAGGAACTTCGGCCGTTCGTTTATGCCTTCAACACCAGCATTACAAGGTACCTTGCACCTCACCTTAATCATTAGAATTGCCAATTATTGTAAACTAAAACTCGTTGATGTTCTAGCAAGTCCCCAACCTACATATTTCAAGCTTCTATAATGTCTTGAATTGTATTTTGTTCCATCCCCAAGAAACAAAGAAACAAATAACGTAGTGGAAGAAGATATGAACCTTCTGATTATTGCCAGAGTAGCAGCTAAGCTGCTTGAGCAGACGTGTCAGGCGCTATTTGTAATCTTATACCAGACAATGATCATGGGATCCGAAGCCATTCCAATCCCACATGCTCCAGTCTCTTCTTGCATTGGCTTGACAAGAAATGACTACGCAGCTTACCTACCAGCATTACTCATTCTCACAATCAGTTCTTACATTAGAGAATCCCATGCAACTTGTTAACCTTACATTACAAAATGATTGATGTTTCTGTTTCCTCAGTATCGTTATACCTCTGTAATTCCTGGACTCCTCGGCAGTTGATAAAGATATTGTTGGTTATGTGACCCACAACTCGTCTTTTTTGGCCAAAAGCACATTTACATATCACTTTAGGAGACTTCAATTTGATCTAAACATTTGGGAAGATGGATGAAGAGAAAGAAATACAACACAACTTTTTTACCACTCCCTCAATCATTGATCCGCCATAGTCTATATACTCTCAGTAGGGGGGCTAACAGGGAAAAAATGCGAAGACCAAATCAGAAGTCTCAGGGATTAACAGTATGATTTTGCTGTACTTTCAAATTTTTAGTTGATGACGCCACTCCAATGGTTTATAACAACACTTCACGTGATGTTGAAAAAAATATGTTACTGTAACTAGCTAAAGTGGAGCTCTACTACAATTTACAAATTGATGAAGTGGCATCATTAACAAAACGACATTAAGAATTGCAGTTTTTAGACGCAAGACAAACTTACTGTTTCTTTCTTATTCTTAAATCACTGTGGACGGGACCCAGTCGAACTCTTTGCATCTTTTGCATGCCGCATGATTTGCTAGTAATTTTCCCGTTATTTCACTCTTTTTCCCCTCTCAATTCCTGCCTAATGCCCTTCCCTTTTACTTTTATTTATGCTTGTGTCTTTTGAACTTACCTTAATACCCTCATTTTTCAATCCTTTGTTGCCTGCCTTTTCTGCCCTGTTTTCTAAGTCATGTTATTTCTTGCTCAGTGTATTTAACGCAGCACAATGATAGTGCTGCACCCATCTGTTTTAAAAAGTTTATCCCCTCAATTTTTCTTCATTCTCACCCATTTGATGTTTGCGTTAATTATACTCCGTGTCTCTCTGTTATTAGGGATTGATTAATCATGTCCTTTTACTAGTAATATAATTTTAGTCTCGTTAGAATGTATTCTATCTACAATTAAGATTTTTTTACATTTTTTAATCATTTTTTTATTTTTTCTAATTTCTGAAATGTTTTAAAAATTAAATTTCATTTTCAAGCATGTTTTGCTTTTAGAAATTGAAAAATCATATCAACTTAAATCAATATGAACACATTTCGCATATATACTGATTTAGTAATTTTTTATTGTGCTTTTTTTATATAGTTTTTTCTAGATATTAAAAAATATATATAAAAAATAAATCCCTCTGCTAATAATTTATTTATTTTTACTCTTATTTCACAAGGGTTAATTTTTTTTATTTTCCTTTTCCCCTCCTTTTCTATTTTTCAAATAAAATGTCATTTTAAAATTAACAAAAAAAACTTAAAGATGTGGTGAAGTTACTATTTATGTACGGTATAGAAGCAGATTCATCTAACTGTGATTGTGACTCCGCGCTGCTGTGCAGCTATCTTGCATGCATTTAGACTGCTCTTTTTTTTATGCATTTGACGTGGCTTGCACTGGGCCGTTGTCTTTGACAGCTAAAAAAATATATATCATTTTCCTCTCATCTCCCATTGCAAATGTCAAATTGTATATTTTTACGCTCTTATATTGCGTGGTATACACTTTGCGCAAGTGTGCAGGTCAGGAGCTCTAGGCCCAGGAGCCTGGGCCTACACCTTTGTCTTTGTTTTTTTGTAATTTTTCTTTAATTTGTTTTTAATTAAGAAATTTTAAGTCAAGATTACGGAACATTGAACAAGATTATTTGTGTTTTTCACGCACCGTGATGAGAATAATATGTGTATATATATATTATTTTAAAAAAAATTAAAAAATATTTAGATTATATTACTCTTGTTATATCAAATTTATTATTTGAATTTATCATTTTTTATAAAAATTCTCATTCTATTAATTTTTTTATTTTGTATAAAATTTTATTTACTGATAAATATAATTTATTTTTCTTTATATTTGAATTTTAGAATAAAATTTTAAAACATGATTGTTTTATTTTTTTTAAAAAAAATAAATTGATATATATGTGTGTGTGTGATGAATTCTATGAATTTTTATATGATATTTGAATATATAAATATAAATATATAATTATTTTAATGTAAAAAGTTAAAAGTATATTTAAGATAAATTGTCTCGGTCTATTAAGTTGCCATGACATATAAAAAAAATATTGAATCTTCAATTTTATTAAAAAAATTAACTATACATCTTCACATGCATCACCAAATATTTATCATTAATATTTTTTTTTAACATTATAGAATAATTTTATTTAAAATAAAATAATTATTTAAAAAATCACCCGGTGATTCAAATACAACTTTTATGGTAACATTATTGATTATTTTGTAGATAAATACATATAAATCAAATGCATATACTTTCAAAAAATAATCTTCCAATCAATATTAAATAAAAATATTTTTTATTTTTATACAAGTCTATACATTAATTGTACCTTTATTTTTTAGATACAATCTTATGAAAAATATATTTTAGAAATTTTTTTTTTAAATTCTTCGTTGATATTTTAGTTTAAATTATTACAATTTTTTATTTTAACAATAAATGAATGAAGAAGAATAAATCATGCTTTTTTAAATAAAATATTTGTGAAAAGAAAATTATTTGAATACAAAATCTTAATTGTAAAATTATAAAATTTCAAAATAATTTTATTCTTTCCTACCTACCTGTAATATAGTGCGAGCGACAGATTAGTATTAGCTAAATTCTGTTATTCATAGACATCTCGAATTGTGCTCGACATTATTTTATCATTCAGCACTTATTAATATCAATTTTTCGGCAACTTCTTTTTCATTAAATATACTTCTAAGATTTCTAATTTTTTCAAGCATTGGCACAATGTAAAATATTTGAATTCAGAATGTTATTAAATATTACAGAACTTATTAATATCAAAATTTCAGCAATTTCTTTGTCAATAAATTTACAAATACTTCTAATATTCATAATTGTTCCAAGCATTGGCACAGAGTAAAATATTTGACACTTTTTACAAATCATAATGTTATTAAATACATATGTGAATTTCGAAACACTATAATTGATATTCCGAATTGAAATATATACATATGCATGTTAAATTCACCAACCAAATTGTTATTTTCATTATTTTTTTCTATACAATTGCCAACACACTCTTTCCCAATAACTATTATATAACAAAATTAGTAAAGCGTATTGGTAATTTTAAAAAAATAATGGAAATAACATTTTAATTAGTGAATTTGGCAGTATTTTATATAGTTATTACAACATTATTTTAAAACTAATAATCATTTGTTTCTCTTCCTTGCAATTCATGGTTTAAACATTGGCAAATAAAAAGTACAGATACGATTAAAGAATGTCAATCAATCACCTTAGACCTAATAACTCTCCAATAAGAACTCTTTAGTCTTTTCCGATGCCCATTTGCGTTCCTCCAGGGCAGAGTTTAACTGTTACAACGCATCCAACAGCAAGAACATGTATCATTATTTTGGCATTCCTACATTCCCTCACCAAAGGCTTCCCTAATCAACACAAAGGCAATATAAATGAATTTTACACATTGGATTGCCAACAAGCAAGACAGGGTACCTTCCTTTCTGAGTATCTAACAGTATCAAAATCGAATTAGAATGAGCAAGCTACAACAATCCACAGCAGAATATGGTTTTGCACATACTTGAGAAAGACAAAACCATGAAACAACCCTTTTGCTGAAGGTACAAGAGAGCGCCTTATGCTGATCTGTTTGTGATTGCTTTTGGATTATATGCCATCTGAGTTTCCAACGATAAGAGCACACTAAAGGAACCCAAAATGGATAAGCATTCACACTATACTAGGTGGATCCCCCACCCAATTGCAAACTGCACGAGACCAGCGTGTTCTAATACAGTCCACTAATGGTGCATGCTGAGAAGGCTGAGGTTTTGTCACCTCAGCGTCTTTACCACTTGATTCGTTCCCACCAGAGCCAGAAGTCACTACCACGTCTGCCATGAATTCCTCAGGGGTCCACCTTGGTGGAACTGAAACCCTCAGTTTTGTGAGCCTAGGTCTCTGAACTGGTGTTTCACCCCCAGATGTTGTATGGCTTCCATTTAAATCAGATTTTGCAATCCCATTAAAATGGTAAAGATCAAACACCTTCTTACCCATCAACCCGCTTGAATCCTTAAGGCCTCCCAAACTTTTGTCTAAATCCAAAATAACTTGCCAGAACTCGCTCCATACAATAAAGCCAGTGCTGCAAAGGTGATCAAGTTTCTCGGATGGAAGCCTAATACCCGCTTCCCTAAGTACTTGATGGAAGCCTTCGACACTGATAAAGCCACCGCCACCGCTCTGATCTTGTGCATCAAATGCCCTTCGAATCTGTGACTCTCTTTCTTCTAGCTCATTCTCGTCCTGAACAGTGGTGTTCAGAGCAAATATAACTGTATAGTGGGATTCACTCCCAACAACCCATATTGGCCATTTGGGGCATTTTAGATGCTGGCCAACCTTGCAAAAATTGAGAGATTCTAATAGGGTGAGAAATCCAACTTCCACGCTTGTCGATATACCCTTTAGAAACATGCCTCCACCAAAGTCCATCCTACCGTCAAAAACATTAGGTACAGCCTGTCCACAAAGCAGAAGGTTCACAATTTCCTGTTTCATAATGTTCAAAAGAAACTGTGTTACTTCAGAAAAATCCAATCATTATCCAATGATCTGCCAAAGAAAATAGGACAGATAAGCATCAAAGCAGAGGAAGAACACATCCTAGATTAATCTGTGGGTATCATACCTGTGAAGCATGCCCAAAAGGTGCAGTAACTAGGGGAAGGCTGGGATCATCCCTGTCAGCTTGAATTGAGTCCTGAATAAAAGAGACATTTTGCAAGCATAAGTGGCATAAACTTCCAATTTTAGAAAGTGAAGTGCCACTAATACACACAATTCTAACAATCAACAGGCTATTTTATCCTGAAAGAATAGAACATCAAGACCAAAAGCAAGACTTTCCTACAAAACCCATGATTTACAAATTTACAAGGAAACTTCATAAGGCTGCAGGCACTTGACAGCATAAGCAGTCAGAATGATGAAGCAATCTTTGTTTCTACTAATGTAACATAAGCCCCCATTTGCATGCTGCTTCTGCTCACATTGTGGTTGCAGTATACAATGCAGCAGTCAGAAAAAATATTGGGGAAAATTGAACAGTTGCTTTCTTACTCTAGATTCATCTTTCTATGGCACTTTCTTATTCTTCCAGTAAATGGCATTTTCTTGTTAAGATATTTTACAAGGGCATAATTCATGCATATCAACCCGCTTGCCATTGGATAAGCTCAATTAAGATTAGATTTGGAAATTAAAATTTTTGACTCCTCACCGCCAACCCACCCCTTCTTCCAGAAAAGGAACAGATTTTGACATGGAATAGAGGTACCTCCCATTTCCAAGCTTAAAATGATGCTGATTAGATCACTCTCAAGTGGGAAAATATAAAAGGGAGTGTAAATGAAAAGATAACTTTTAAGCATACCAATCCTCGGGACAGTAACGCAGAAATAAGGAACAGCAGTGCCCCCATACGAGATTGGAAAACAGGAAGTGCCATATGGAGTTTCTGCAATGCACTTGCTTGTGACGTATATGAGTCGATTCTTAGAATTTTTTGCAAATCAGAAGCAGATTCAATTGAAAGGCCCTCGAGTGCTTTTGCAACAGTCTGCAAAGATGGAAGCCAATCCTCGTCAGCAAAAAAAAAATATCCAAAACATCTGTGCAACAATGGCCATTACAATCACAATGTATCCACTAAACCAAACTACAAACTAAATATTGCACAGTAAATTGATATCCAACCTAAACCAACTTACCTTGTTCTCTGCAAAGCCCCCAGTGCCAAGGCCAACAACATTCAAAGTGGCAATCACAGCTCTTTTATTATCTCCACACATAAACAATATTTCACCCATGCTTTTGACCAGGGCTCTGTGAATGAGAAAAAAAAATTACAGACATAAAATGAAAATGGCAATGTGAGTAAAGATATATGAGATTCTAGAAAAAGATTGATCATGAACTATATAAATATCTCAAGGCATCCCAACATTATTATCCAACTTAAACACACAGAACACAAGTTACACATAACTGATAGTTGATCAAGATCATAACAAGGTTTCAATTCACTGCTTACTATTAAACCTCGCCCACCAGCCTAAATGGAGGCAGTGGAAGATTATTCAAAAACCTAAGTACAGGGACATAAGATGTTAAAGTTAATTTTTAACTGGAGCCAAGTTGCCCATGACATATGAAAATAAAAGATAACAGTGGTTTGACTTATCCTACAAAAAATCAAGTGGCATAAACAGGAAAAAAATACACTTTATATGGAATCCATGGCATATCCACACATCTCCTTCATCACAAACTCAAGGAAAACTGTATCAATAACTTGATTGCACCCAACTAGCAAGTTGTAATAAACCATACATATAATCAGAATTCACAGATAAAGAATATCATTTGTAGAAAATAACTCACAGAAGGACAAGGAAAAAAACCTAAGATATGAAGTCATTACCCTATCACAAGTTAAGAATAAAACGGTTCACAGCACTTAAAAAGCAAATGAGCACATCTAAGGAATGAATACCATAATTCCTCATTGTTCATAATCAAAGGATCATAAATAATAATAACATAGATTGAAAGCAAATAAAAAATCGTGTCCCAAGTTCCAAATGCAACTGAAAACAGGGTCAGTTACAGCAGGAGTAAAACCACGAGAATCCATGAGTGGTGAATTTCTTAAGTGCCAAAGGTCTTCCTTTGTGATATTTAACAGATGGCTTATAATCACCTTGCTTTTGCTTCTTCGGTAAGAGAACCAAAATTATCCAGTGCAACATATTGACTTTTAGACAATCTTCCAGAGCCCAAATTTTGCGGCACATTTGATGTAACTGTGCCTATTTCATTTGGAAAGAAAAGAAGGTATTTGAGAACAAATGCCTGCACAACCGCACAAAATATTGTAAGAAAATCAATAGGGATTATGAACTGATTCTGAAGCTATGAATATTGTAAATCAGTAGAGCACCAAGAAAACTAAAAACCAAGATGAAATGATACAAGGAGATTAAGAACTAAATATACACAATTAAATTGCAGCCAATAGCTGGTGCAAAGAAACAATGATTGATATAATTGTATAGCTTTTAGACTTCAATAACTACCTTATCCAAAAGCATAAGCTGCCCATTCAATAACTACATTATATAAAATCATAGGCTACTCACTTGCAAGCCAGATATCGGCCTATACCCACCACCATTTTGGAGAAATTCAAAAACCAGTCATGGTAAAGTAAAGTGATCAGACAAATGACTCAATAATATCATGAAGTGGAATTTTTAATTTTTTTCCTTTGGTTCATTATGGCCTATTGGATCTTGAGTTTAAGGTAGCCTCCAATTCTCTAAACCCTTAAGGACTCGTTATCCGAAGATTTGAAAACATATACATACATATATAAAACAAAGTAGGCAAAAGGTCATTGCCTAAAATTTTCTGCAATCACCACGAATTCAAAAGATATGACAGTTATTTCAAATATTTAAACAGTTAAAATAATCATCTGATGTACAGCAAATTGTCCAAATCATGAGTGTGTTAGTGGTTTAAAAGATTATCATGTATGAACACAGGGGATTGATGTATAACGGCAATAAATTAAAGCAACTTAGCCAAACCCAAAGTAGTTGTGGTCAATCACATAAATCCTTTTTCTATATTCTAATTCTATTAAAGCCAAACTTCCTACAAGCCGTCGGCAAACAAATGACTTTTAGTTATTCGATAGCAGGTTAATGGTGGTTAAAATTTATCATTGTTAAATTTAAGTTTGTTTGATTAAATTTTTGGGAAAGGTGAATTGTCAAGGGGGATAATTACCCCCCAAGACGGTGTTTTTGGAGGGTAAATTACCCCCTAAATATTTTTTTTTTAGTTCCTTCCCTCCTTTTTCTCTCAAAGTATGCACCACATAATTTTTATTTCTCTCTCATCAATCATTTCTGATAATTTAATTACTTCCCCTCGCTTTCCACTAACAATTCACCGTTCAATTTATTAACATACCAAACATCCTTAAAAACTAACTTCTACACCCTCAAAGATTACTCTGTTATAATTCACCCCATTTTCTAACCTCGCACCAAACCACCTTAGTCAACCTTTCTCATTTTGCATACTGACTACTCGTTGAATTTAATCAATCTTCCATGTCATTAAGTCTTCAAGTCTTCATTGCACAGTAACTAACATCAATAGATTGAAGAGCTAATAGTTTGGCAAATGGCAAGAGCTCCTGTTGTTTAGTCGACCTCAAGCAAAATTTCTAGTAAACTGCTACTGAGATTAACTATGTTCGAGTTTGATACAAAGCATTTTCACTCATCTCTGTGACACCCACAACAATAATTGTAGCATCCTCAACGAGCATATGGCTTCTTTGAGGAATAATTAAACTCTTTCACATAACCATGACTTCCAATTGTTGTGAGCCCCCATAAATTCCACTATCAGTTGCAAATAAATCTAAAAATGAATGGCATAGACGCCCATTTTAAAATCAACATGAATGACTCGATGATAGCCTAAAGCATGAAATTTTTTAAAAAGATGACATCAAAACATCATGATGAAACTGCCTGTTGAAATTCAAGTAGCCTGGAAAAGGAAAGTTCCATTTTTCAACATGACACCATGGTTAACAATCCATTTATATAATGCATCCAAAGTCTGAACACCCACCCCCCCCACCCCACCCCACCCCCTTCTTCCCCCAAACTCCCATGACAAAAGAAAACCTTGATTTACTCAATAGAACACGCATCATATAGAAATTGATTAAAGATCAAAAACAGAAAAAACAGCATAATTAGAAATCAAAGGGATTACTTGTATAGTTGCTAAGACGCCACAGGGCCCACCTTCATGCTGCACTAGGCCCATAGATGTTTCTGGATCAGGACTAAACCTATAGGAACGTTCAACAAGATATCAGACAATAATGGGCATGCCAATGAAACTATTGTAACATCGTGATTTTCAAAACGAACAAAATCTCAAACAAGTTGCTCTACAAGATATCAATCATCAAATAAACTTTAATGTGATCCCCATTAGTGATAGCCCTTAAGAGTACACAGCTTTTACCCTTTCATCTCTACATTGTGCCACAAATTCCACTTTCACTCCCCTATGAGTTGCTAAACATGAATCAAATTGCTTAAATTCACTATTATGATCCAAAAAAACTACGTCATAACTAAACATGTAAACATTTGCAACATGAAAGCTACCGCATTATTCAATACCTTATGCCCTGATTACTCCACTGAGCAAGGATGTCCTTAGAAACACCGCTCCCAAATACCATGGAAAACAACTCATTAGCTTCTTCACTCGATAATTGCTCTCCCGAATTCCCCTCCTTCACACCAAAATCCACCTCTTTTCTAACAAAATCAGCACTTTTACCAGGACTTCTCTCAACCGTTGCTTTCGAAGGTGACGGAGAAGGCGAAGGTGACAAGGAAGGAGAAGGGGAGGCAATTCTCGTCGCGAGCATCCGCTTCTCAGCGGCTGCTGCCATTTTCTCACGCTGCATCCGCCTCGACTCCTCCGGTGACGCCGCAGGAGTTCCAGCGTCCCTCGGCTTGCTCCGCTTGGGTTCAGGTGGCGAGTTTTGCATGCTCATTCTAAGAGCCATTCTCAAGTCCTCTTCTTCTTGATCCGCCATTGAAGAAGAAAAATCAGATTCAGAATCGCAGATCCAGAGAGGTTTGTAATTCAGCGAATTTAGGGTTTCATGTATATATTTACAGGTCTATTGAATTCAGTGATTACAATGAATAACAAGATTTGATTTGCTTTAAAGATGAAAGATCAAAAAGGATTGAGATTATAAAAACCCTAATAAAGTAGGGTTTGGGATTCTTGATTTAGTACGTGAAAGGATTTGGATTTTATTTGTGAGTGCGAAGAGACCATTCGATTTTCGACAAAGAAGAACGAAGGCAGGGTTGGGATTTTAAATTCTATATAGGGCTAAAGACGGAAAGACGATTTATCCGAAAATGAAATTAGGCGGTTGAACGATGTCGTAAGCTATCTCTAGCGTGAGCCTTTTGTGGATGACTCGGCGAAATGACATGTTTGACCTTATTTGTCGAGTTCAAGTTATGGGAGTGTAGTGAGGAAAGGTTAGGGTAGTTGAGGAAATTAAGAACATGGGATTTATCTTTAATTAAGGAGTATAATCTAGTGACGTGGCTGGTTAATTCTTTTCTTTTTCGGAGAGCAAAGCGTTTAGTTTTCGTTGTCTGAAGAGAATCTTTGCCAGACTGGGAAGGTGGGATTTGGTTGGGTGTTTTTCGGTTTTTGGTAGCATGGGTAGCTTATATTCATGATGGGTTTATAACCGTCGGATGTTGAGTCTTTGATGATGAACGCTTGGTGTTGATGGAAACATTGGATCTGTGGTCAATGTCTGGACTCAGGTCCGAGAACTGCAAGAAAATCCAAAGTGGGTTTCTCTAGTCAGTATGCAGTGAAAAGAGATTGGTGTATGAGATTGAGATCAGCTGAATGTAATTTATAAAATGGATTTAATCCCTATTTTTTCGAATAAAATAAAAGAATGTTTAGGGTAGAGAGAAGGAAGAAGGACGCACTTACGCCCATGAGAGAACTTCGTCTGTCCAGTGTCCACTGTAATAAAGCCCACGCGAAAGAACAGTCTTTCACATGCTTATGCTGCTACTGCCGCAAGTCGTACTCTTCCGTCTTGAGACTCAACAGAAACATTATGGCCAGGCCTATGGACGATGGATGCACTATGGTCAGCCTTCGCTTTGATCCAGTAGTCCAATGGCTAGGACCCTCCGACCCCGCTCACCCCACCAGGACAAGCTCACAAGTCTTTGAGTGAGGATCTTTGTTGTCAACACCTTTTTAGTTTTGCTTTCGCTATTGCCAGAAACAATCACCACTATGAGTTGCCAAAATCTTCAGAGAGTAATTGGCTTTTAAATACCAATATTTGAATCAATATATTCTCTTTGATTACCAGCAATTGATAACGAATTTTCCTCAAAAATAAAAAACATGATCTGAATTTGCTTGACAAGAGAGAGGCTAAGTTCGTCTCAAATTTGATTTTTTGCGAATACTAATCTTTTCTCATTTTCTTCTAACCATACATTTGCCGGAAAATGTATGGTTGACTGTACTTTTTTTTTTGTCATTTTCTTATAACCATCCTAATCTTTCTCTCATTTTTCTCATTTTCTTATAACCATACATTTTCTTATTACCAGCAATTTGATAACAAATTTTCCTAAAAAATACAAAACATGATCTGAATTTGCTTGACAAAAAGAGAGTCTAAGTTCGTCTAAAATTTGATTTTTTTTAACACTAATCTTTTTCTCATTTTCTTCTAACCAAACATTTGCCGGAAAATGTATGGTTGGCTATACATTTTCTTTTTCTCATTTTCTTATAACCATCCTAATCTCTCTCTCATTTTTCTCATTTTCTTATAACCATACATTTTCTTATTACCAGCAATTTGATAACAAATTTTCCTAAAAAATACAAAACATGATCTGAATTTGCTTGACAAAAAGAGAGTCTAAGTTCGTCTAAAATTTGATTTTTTTTAACACTAATCTTTTTCTCATTTTCTTCTAACCAAACATTTGCCGGAAAATGTATGGTTGGCTATACATTTTCTTTTTCTCATTTTCTTAAACCATACTAATCTTTTTCTCATTTTCTTGTAATCATACCTTTTTCTCATTACCAGCAATTGATAACAGATTGTCCTGAAAAATGAAAAACATTATCTGAATTTGCTTGACAAAAAGAGAGGCTAAGTTCGTATAAAATTAGGTTTTTTTTTTTTTTTTTTGCGAATACTAATCTTTTTCTCATTTTCTTATAACCATGCATTTTCCAACCTCTCACGGTCACGAATAAATAAAAGATTAAAGTAATCAAAATACACTGAAATTTTTATTCTTTTGGAAAGTACATTAATATTTAACATTTTATGAACGAGAATCTCAAAAACCAAAAACTTATCGCGAACAGATTTTATGATGAAATCACCTTCGCAGCAACATTATCTACTTTTCCATGGTTTGTTAAGCTCTTAAGCCCAACTCTTAAAAAAATCAAGAGACGAACTGAAACAACTCTTTAAATTTAAATATTAAACAAAGCAGACGGATTGAATCGTGGATGTTTTGGTGCCATTGTGGTCGGTGGGCTATTGCTGAAAAATGATTGTTGATTTATCACTTATCCACAGACCTCGATAAAGGAGCTTGAAAATTTCCTACCGCAGGCATTCCTTCTATGTGAACAAAGGAATGTATCGTAGCACTAGCGTGCTATGTTAGATAAATTAAATATATTTAAAATATACAATCGTAGTGAAAATTTAATAGGATGTATATTTAGTGTCCTAATTGAAAAGTGTTTAAGTTATTGTACTCGAGTAATCATCCAAAAAAATTAATGATGTCGATGAGAAAAATACTTCTAATCTATGCAAATATTTTAGGTTTTATGTGTATTGATAAGTGACACGAGACTTAACTTAATTTTTATATAGTTATATTAATAATTTTTTCTTTAACCTAATTTTACACTTTCATTCATCATGGATGTGCCTAACTCATCACTATAGTCCAATAGAATCTAAACTTTTAATGTCATATTCATAGAATTAAAACAAGACATAACATGTAAGTCACATTAGGAGATGTTTCTTACTTTTTTTCATTTGATCCATACAGCATTGCATGAAAAATGATAATTTTTTATAGAGTCTAAAATAACAAGTACGTAAAAATACTCATACTTAGATTAATAATACAACATATGAGTTATAATGGTCATAGTTTACAACCAAACATCTATTTCAATGTATTACAATATATTGTATCCTCGAAATAAGTACTTCACGAGTAAATAAACTTTATAAATGAACTTTTAATAAGTTATTGTAGTGCAATTTTATATATCTTAATAAATATGAAAAATAATATTATATGTCTACAAAAATAACATCAATCTCTAAGAATGATATTTAAAAAAAAAATATCGACAATCAATTAGAAGAAAATAAAGTCAAGCATAAAATCAATTAGTTAGACTCGTGCAATCCACATAATCTCTATATTGTTTTTTCCAAGAGTGCTTTAGCCATGAGATATGCAATAATTAGTTCAATGCTAATATGCTTGGTAGGCACTTTTATGTTTCTTTGTTTTTTTCCTCGTAATGAGATTTTTTATATCGCATGCTTGTTTTAGCTTCCACTCTTGTTATTTTTACATGAAACTACAATCGAGTTATCACAACAAATCTTTGATAGTCTTGATATGGAATCAATAATTTTGTAGCATAAATGGAATTTTTTAACCAAATAGTATGTATCGTTACTTTATAACATGCAACGAATTCTATTGGTATAATAGACAAAACAATAATAATTTACTTGATATTTCTTTGAGACATAGCTCCTACAACAAGAAGAACGATGTATCTTGAAGCAGACTTTCTTCTCTCTACTCAACTTGTAACATATGAATTTAAATAATTAAATACCTCAAGATAATAAGTATGCTTGGAAGTCCACTCGTAACACATATTTCTTTATAGGTATTTTATTATTTTTTTAACACACACACACACACATATATATAATGTTGGACACCTAAACAAACAAATAATAAAAAACTATGTACTAAAATTATAGTTTTTTCTTAAAAAATTAATTTTTTTTCAATGACCTAAGCGAAATCAATTTTTTTATCACTTGTTAGTTAAAAATTATCACGTGATAGCTCATCTCAAACACATTTGTATTTTTTAATTCCTAGTGATAAGGAAAACTCAAACCAAAATAAACAAATACTTAAACTCTTAAATGGATATAATTAAAGGTTAAACACTTAAATAAAAAAAAATAGCATATAAAATACATTTCAAAATGAAATATAAAACATGCTCAAGAAAAAAGGTGTATCGAAACAATTAGGTGTTTGTAAATGTTATGAAGCTTTTTTTTTTTTTTTGGTGGTGTTGTTGGACAATAAGAAATAAAATAGTAGAATAAAAATAAAAATTTTATTTCAACTTTATGCATGTTTGGTTGTAAAAAATAAAGTGAGATGACAACGTAAACAAGTATTAAATATATTTTTATTTTCATGGAAGTGGGTGAGAATGAAAATAAAGAATTTATATTTTTTAAATAGTAATATATTATTTTTATTTATTGTGTATTAACTATTTTTACCACCACCGCCGCCTTTACCATCTATTCCTTATCTACTACCACCATTAGCGATGGTGATAACTCTTTTTTATAATTTTTATTGTTATTATTTCACCACTACTCTTTCACCGTTGTCATCACTTTTATCATATCATTGTCCCCAGTGCCACACCATTGTCTTCAGCAACAATGATAAAAAAATAAAAAAATTATTATTATTCCATTATTATCATTACTTTTATCATATCATTATTATCACCACCATTATTATTTCAATACCACATTCTCCTATGAAAATGATATGATTTTTTTAAAATATATCATTGGTAATTCTATGTTATTATTACTATCATTGTCTCCTCTTTTACCACTATTATTACCACCATCATCAATTGTAATATTTTTATTATCACGATTACTAATGAAATTATTTTTTAATTTTTAATTGTTTTAAAAATCTGATATTGAAAATTTTGATTTTAATTTTAATTATTTATTATTATTCTAAATACAATATGATATTTTAGTTTTTTAATTTTTATATAATCAGACTTTTTATTTTTAGTAATCAAGCTGTACTTATAAAAAATTATATAACGGTACACGCTAAGAAAATGCAGGCATTCAAGTTCCGTGGAATGGTTCCAAACACAGTTTTACAAATACAGAAAAAGGTTTACTTCTTGATAGAATAGAATTGAAATCATCATCAAATCAAATCTATCCGAATTCAAAGCCACAACCTTGAAAAAAAGGAAAAAGAAAAAAAGAGCACTCGCTTCCCGTGCAAGTTACAGAGAATCAGCTGCTATTTGGATGGATAATGACACCAACATGTCAACATGTCAGCTGTTGAATTCTGATTCCTCACAGAAGATTAAGAAGGAACCTAAACAATCGAACTGTACTGTTGGTCCCACAATAATAAACAATAATAAAATGGACCACATAAAAAAGAGTAGTTGTAAAAGAAAATGTAGTAATAGGATTGCAAGCACAGTAGATATAAAAAGACCTCGAAGTGCACCACCACCTCGTCATCCTCAAAACATAGACCGAAACAAAAACCTCATAACCGTCGAATTCAGAGATAGACGACGAAAGGTGTTATCTGCGGTGACGGCCACACACCTCAGTACCTCACTCTCCTGTCTCCACGTGTCGTCCGAAACTTCCGTTACACCAGATAGCCCCATCCACATCTCCACCCCTCTCTCTCTCCTTGCTTCCATATTTATCTTCTCTCCTCGAACAGACCAACACACACTTCCGTCACTGATATAATATTATCCTCTCAAATTATATTGCAAGACGGATTTGAACAAGTTTTAGAGAGATAAAGAGATGGATCACTCAGCAGATGCTCACAGGACGGATTTGATGACCATAACGAGGTTCGTGTTGAACGAACAATCCAAGTATCCTGAGTCGCGAGGTGATTTCTCTATTTTGCTTAATCACATTGTTCTTGGCTGCAAGTTCGTTTGCACTGCTGTTAATAAGGTAGGTCCATATCTGCCCTCGTTCCTTTTCAACCGAATATGTAAGCTTTACTTCTTCTTTAATTAGCCGCCTTTGTTCGCCTACGAATTGGAAATGAAATCAGAGTTCCTTTTTCTTATTTCACTTCCTTAGCAATATCAAGAGTCTGTAAGTGGATTTGATTTTTAAATGAAAGTGAAAATTTGAGTTTTATGTGGAATTAGAATCAAAATCATGTCCGTATTCTATTTTCAATCCACAGCAAACCAAAAGTGACTTTTTTTCCTTTTAAGTTCAATAAAAATTCCAATTAGCTAAATCTTGGCGAGTTCTTGATTTCTCGGTCTCATACTCGTGAAATGGATTCGGTGCTCTGTGGAATGTGAAATTTTCTGTTCTTTCAAATTTTAAATGCGAATCCATGTAGAATTTCAATCAAGACTATCAGTCAACTTTCAAAAAACGATCACTTTAAACAGCAGCAAGAAACCACTCGTTCTTTTTGATTTAGTTTTTTTTATCGAAGAAAAACTGAAACATCAATGAAGCCAATTCAAAACAACATGCTTGGTTTCGAAATTATAGGTCTTATAAATAAGATTTATTTATCTTTACTTGTGCAGGCGGGTCTAGCCAAACTTATTGGACTTGCTGGAGAGACCAATGTTCAGGCAAGTTGTCGAGGGCCAGGTCCAAATTCCATGTTTTGTCTTTGTATGCTATTTTATCTTGTTCTGTCCACACCCCACAAACCCACCCAACACCACCCCCCCCCCCCCCAACCCAATATTGTTCTCTGTTGCTGTTCTGAATGAGCTATCTTTTTTTTAATATAATATAGTGATTAATTCGATTATATTTCACTTTTTGGAAAAAGGGTGAAGAGCAAAAGAAACTCGATGTCCTTTCAAATGAAGTGTTCATTAAGGCTTTAGTAAGCAGTGGTCGAACAGTAAGTAATGGGTAATCTATTTTTTTATATGAACTGAATTTGTTGGAATTTTGTGTAAGATTTTGGATCTTGTGGCAGTGCATCCTTGTCTCAGAAGAAGATGAAGAAGCAACATTTGTGGAGCGTTCCAGGCGTGGAAGGTATCTGCAAGTGTTCTCGTTTGTTTACTATTTGTTACAGCCTGCTCTGTTTTGGTTTGTTAGACTAACGTATGCTATTGGTTTGATATATGAGCAGATACTGTGTTGTGTTTGATCCATTGGATGGATCTTCCAACATTGATTGTGGTGTTTCTATTGGAACGGTATGATCTCTCATTCTGAAACATGACACTGTTCGATTCTTTGTTTTTTTAATTCAAGTCCTTAACTGACAGGATGGAGAGTGATTGTTGTTCCAGAATAAATTGATATTGCAGTTATATATTGAGTGCCTTCTCTTTCATCTAGATTTTTGGAATTTACATGGTGAAAGATGGCCACGAACCAACTATAGATGATGTGTTGCAACCTGGGAAAAATATGATCGCAGCTGGCTATTGCATGTATGGAAGCTCTTGCACGGTATGGTAGATAACTTTCCTGTAGTTAAAAGGCTCCTTTTTTTTGTCGTTTGTATCCCTTGACATCGCCCTATTGATTTGTGAAGTGTGTCTTTTTGTTTAATTGGAATTTTGATTTTTTTTTTTGATGGGGGTATAATGAATGTGGTTCACGAGGTTCTTTGTCTGCCAATCTGATTTGCACTTCATTGTGTCGTGCACATATTAATCAATATATGATTTGGCAGCTTGTTTTGAGCACTGGAACTGGTGTTAATGGTTTCACCCTGGATCCATCCCTTGGGGAGTTCATACTCACTCATCCTGACATTAAGGTAAATTCTGTTTTCAGTAGTATATTGTGGAATTGCAATCAGTTAAACTGCATGATTGTGTGTTGTAGTTAGTTGCACATACAAGGAAATTAATCCATCTATCTTTAAGTGTGAGAACTGCATGCTTATCCTCTTTAAGGGTATGGTTGAAGTTTTTGAGACTTGAGGGCTACTATATGGATGTTTCTAATCTCTGTTCATAACATTTTCAGTTTAGTGGAGTATTTGGTATTTTTTCCTCACATTTCTTTCTGGACAGATTCCAAAGAAAGGAAAGATTTATTCAGTGAATGAAGGAAATGCAAAGAACTGGGATGGTCCAACAGCCAAGTATGTGCTATTCATTGTGATAGTCTAGTACTTTTCTAGTGATTATTTACTTGAGTTTACTGGTATTTTATGACTTTAGGTATGTTGAAAAATGCAAGTTCCCCACGGATGGATCCCCAGCAAAATCTCTAAGATACATTGGAAGGTATCTTTGATTCTCATTCTAGCAACTACGATTTTCTGCTTTTTTCAATCAATCATCGTCATTTATTTACTGCAGTTACCTTTTGAGGATATCTGCTTCTAACAAAATATATGCTTGATTTTTGAGTGAAAATAGTCTTAAAATGTAATGAAATGAACCACATGCTTTCTACGTTAGAAACCCTTTAGTCTTCACCCTAGTCTGAATTTAATCCCACCAACATGCAATCAAAGTCGTACGGAACAGGATTGAAGTGGGAAAATATTGTAGTCACTGTCATTAGGTTATGGGCTACTGTTCCAGCCTCCTTCAAACCATTAATTATTTGGGTCATATATTCCACGGGCTATTTTTACGGGAGTTCTTATAATGTCGATCACCGGGTTTCATCGATTATCACCACCGTTCAACATGAAGTCAAATATTCCAGTGTGATTATTTTCTGCATATAAAAACAGACAATATCTGTCTCTTTCTGATATGTCATTGTTGTCTTCAATTAGAGCTTCATAGTTTTTTATAACATTTCTGTATGATCCTCAGCATGGTAGCCGATGTCCATCGCACATTACTTTATGGGGGTATATTTTTGTACCCTGCCGATAAGAAGAGCCCCAATGGGAAACTACGGTATGTTTATGCACTCATAGTGCTGGTATTTCTCCTGGTTTCATGTCCTTTTGTCTACTGGTTTTTATTTGGTACTCATTGCGATTATATTTGTGTAAACTAGTGTTCTATATGAAGTTTTCCCGATGTCCTTTTTGATGGAACAAGCAGGAGGTCAGGCTTTTACCGGCAAGCAACGGGTATTGACTTCTTCATTTTTTTTGCTGTTGAGCTGTTTCACTACCCAGATTTATGAAAGCTTAATATTGAAATATTTGCTTCTGGCATTATTATTATCTATTTATTTTTTAAAAAAAGATGTGCTTCTACCTAAAGTTATCAAGCTGTTTCCTTGCTTGTTTGTCTTGTCCTTGTATAGAGGGACTATGGACTGTATTATATAACGATTTAAATTGGATACAAACGTTGTTTTCTGATCTCCTATAAGGTTATTGTGGCAGATTATAGTTGAAGCTCATGGAATTGTTAGTATATTAATTACATATAAAAGAAGCATGATCTAAGTTAGTTCCTTCCTAAGAGTATATAACATTCGAGAAAAAAGGGAAAACCAGTGTCACTGAAGTGCTTTTTCTATAGCTAGTATTTGATGCAATCATTTACCTTGGCAGGCCCTGGACTTACTTCCAGCGAAGATACACGATCGCTCTCCTATATTTCTTGGAAGCTATGATGAGGTCGAGGAAATCAAAGCACTTTATGCCGCCGAAGTGAAGAAAGCATAAACCACCTATACTGTGGCTATATTTGGCATGGCGCTGCACCATGTGTGGCCAGCGGGGCTACCATATCAAAATGCTCGCAATGCCGTAATGGGGGTTGTTTTTATCATGCCAAAATACTCGTAATACTTGCGTAGCCTTTGATTGTTTTGTGGGCATTTGACCTGCTTCTAATCATCTATTCATTAGATAACGCGTTTTCATAATTTTCTTCTGATATGTGTTCATTAATGAGATGAACAAATCATTTTGCTGGCATTGGAATAATGAGAAAGAATGCAATACAGGATTAATACATGACCACATAGGAAGCAGGAATCGTGAATTTCTGCATACTGGGACATGTGGCATGCACTTGCTTGTAAGCACATTTCGAAGTTTGCAGTTTTATAAATATAAGCGAAGTCCATATGACACAAATTATTCCCAAGGAAGTACTGCTACAATAAAGGAACCTTGAGTGACGATGTACATCCTGGCACAACCATACACGAATGTCAATGTGTAATTTCGCTTAACTTTTGGGGGCAACTTTTTTTTTTGGTTGCCTTTTTGTGGATACATGATTAGTGTTTCTTATCATTTTCTAATTGCTAGTACTGAATGGTTCTTTTAGTTACTCTTATTTTGATAATCATTTCATCTGGCAGAAGTTTTCTGTTTCACATTCGTTTCAATGATCACACAATTGGCAATCATGCTAATTTTAAACGCTGATGCCAAATTAGTGTCGGTAGTGGAATTGAGATTTAAGATAGTCAAGGTCCCAAATTGTGATCCTTTTCTTGTCATTTGGTCGAGCAAAACGGTATCTGAGTTTTTATATGCTGGGCGGAAGGCATGCTTATTATGGGATGAGATGCGAGACCAATTCATCAGGTCAAAAAAAAAAAAAAAAAACAGCAGAGGAAGAGAGAGAGAGAGAGGAGGCCGCGATTGCAAGCACCGTGGAACAGCCCATCCTTTCAATGAATTTTCCTTTCAATAATTATAAGTCTCCGAGGAAGCGATTTTACTTGTATAATTAAAGTATTATTGATATTGTCTGCTTGCCAGAGTTTCTGGAAACCTATATATATCGAGCAACTTCCATTAAACCAAAACATTATTGAGGTGATGATTAAATTCCGTCAATAAAAATATGATGATTCATTTTATAAATCACCGGCTTTTGTAAAAAGAAAAAGGAAAAAACAAAGGTACAAGAAAAACGTAAAAAAAAAAAAAACCAATAAGACAAATTTCTTCATTCCTTTAACGACACCTGCAGAACTACAAATCTATTCGTAAAGTTTCAAGCTTCAAGAGCTCAAAACTAGAAAAGTTAGGGGTAAATTATAAATTAGTCTTTCTAATTTTAAAAATTAATTATTTAATCATCTTTTAATTTCATTAGTAATTTAGTTATTTCATCAATTTTTTTTATATCAGATTAGTGATGTAACGTCTTATTACAGTACTTTTTTATTCTTAAATTATCTTTATTTTAATATATTGTTTCTCATTTCATTCATTTTATTTCTTTTTTTCAACTATTAACTAATTGAAAAAATTGAGAGATGCCATGATGGTCGAGAATTGAGAAAAAAATGAATGAATAGGGAAAAAAAAGGAAAAAAAGAGAAATTTGAGAATAAAAAATATTGCATTAAGATATCTTATTACTAATTTAACGAAAAGCTAATATAACAAATTATTGAAAAAATTAAAACATATGAAATTAAATAATTAATTTTTTGAAACGCAAAAACTAAATAATTTATTTTTTAAATGACAAACGGGACTAACAATTATGTATAATATTTTTTAATCTATTTTTAAGGCTAATATACACAGTTTCCGGTAGATGGGAACAGTAAAAATTCTTTTAACGTTATCTCTATCTTTTTTTCCCCTCATATCCATCAAGTCATCAACACACACAAAAGAAAAACGAAAAATGTTAGATGCTCATAATTACACCCGCCAAAACTGCTATTCCTTCCTAACAAACTTTTAACCATTATCATAATTTCACACTTTAAAAAAAAACGCGTGAGAAAAATTAAATAATCTCACTTAAGCAATGTACAATTATTAAACACCAATAAAAAACCAACCCAATAGAAACGGTCCTTCTCCGCTCTTTTCCTTCTCAAGCGCCACGTGTTTTAAAATCCATTCACTCATACCAAACCGTAAATTACACCAAAAAAGTCCCTCTTCTTCTCCTTCTCTCTCCATAAACGTTCAATTAAAAACAAATAATCAGTCATAACAGACCAGATCTACCCCCAAACAGAAAACTAAAAACCCCTAAAACTTCTTTAAATTTACGAAAATGTCAAGCGACAGCGACGATGAAGATGAGCTTCTCCAGATGGCATTAAAGGAACAATCTGAACGCGATCTCAACTACCAGCGACCGCGGTCGAATCAGCGCAAGCCGGTGGTCAATTTCGTCCAGCAACCGAGGCAACCGCCTCCTCCGCAGAGGCCGGCGTCGACGACCAACATGGCGAATCATCCGCAGCAGCCGAAGAATCGGAGAGCGGTGGAGGAGGATGATGATTCGGAGGTGGAAATGCTGAGCATATCGAGCGGCGATGAGGAGGTTAGTAAGGATCGTGGCGGTGGAGGAGGTGCGGCAGCGAGAGGGAGAGGTAGACGTGGTAGCGGAGGGAGGGAGGAGGAGAGAGGGTGGGATGGCGAAGAGCCTGATTGTTGGAAAAGAGTGGATGAAGCTGAGGTATGCACAAAATTCTCTTCAATTTTTGTCAATGTATGTATATTTGTATTATAGGTATAAATATGATAGAAACCCTTGGCACAGTTTTGAGTTGATTTCTTTGTTTATGCATTACTGATGATGATTTATAATATGTGCAATTTAGTTTTAAATATTTAGTTTATTGAAGGTACTGAAGTTGTGCTCTTATGACAGCTTGCTCGTAGGGTTCGTGACATGCGAGAGTCAAGAACTGCACCAGCGGCTCAAAAGTTTGAGCGGAAGCCTTCGGCATTGGCTAGGAAGGGGCTTAACACTCTGCAATCATTTCCCCGTGGCATGGAATGCATTGATCCACTTGGTTTAGGGTAAGCTTCTCATATGTAATTTTCTTTGATAAGCAACAATTTTCAGTTTTCGAGGCTTGCTTTGGCTCACAGATTTTGTCAGTTCACTATTTTGAGGATTTCGGCTTTGTAGACATGTGTCGAAGCTTGAAGAAACAATAGTTTTTGATATTTCAAAAGTGGAAATGCTAATTGATTCCCTTTCAAATATAGAACCATAAAATGTTTTCCTGTACGAGACTGAAATATATGTTTCCTAGCTATTTCGCCTTTTAACATCACTTATGCTAAGTGTTAGCCTGAGTATATTGTGTATTTACAGGATTATAGATAATAAATCATTAAGGCTGATCACTGATTCTTCAGAAAGCTCTCCATCAAAATCTGATAAAGATTATTTGGACAATAACCTTCGTGGTATTTCTCTCTTCCCTCTCTCTCATTTTTCCTCTATTCAATGCAGTTACCCATTTGGTTCATTTTATACAACCACACATCGTTGCGCTCAATGAAGTAAATTTCTGCATTGCCAAATAGTTTTTTGTTTCCTATTCTGGTACCGTGTCAAATAATAAGGAGCCAAATAATCTATAAATTAGAGCACATCCATTAAGTTTGCATTATCTCTAGCATGCTCTTGTGTGTTATGCTAAAAGGGATATCCATAAATTGTTGTTAAATCAAATCAGGGCTGTTTCTTGTGTCTAAGAAAGTTATCTAAATTCAGCACTGATCTTCATGTTTTCCATCCATCAGCAACCAACAAATGAAATGACATTCTCAAAGCCACAAGAGAAGGGGCAAGATCTTAAAATCCTTAGTAGTTTCGTTGATAGCCTTCAGCAATGATACTCCCATCAAATTAATCCATGGGTTTAGCCGCCCACCTTTTGACTTCTGATTGCACAAAACTGTTGATATAAATTGTGAACAAGACCATATGATTTGTTGATAGAATTAATCCATGAGGCAGCAATAGATGTTTACTTTTGAGGCTTTTTATATTGCTGGTTATTATGGCAGACAACATTTATTTGATGTTTATATTTGCAGAGAAGTTGTTGTATTTCTCTGAAAACTTTGATGCAAAGATATTCCTATCCCGAATACATCAAGATACAAGTGCATCAGACTTGGAGGGTGGTGCGCTTGCTTTGAAAACTGATCTCGAAGGACGGACTCGACAGAGAAAACAGTTGGTTAAAGACAATTTTGACTGCTTTGTCTCTTGCAAGACTACAATTGATGGTATGCAATCATCATACTGCATGGTTTGGTAGATTTACTCTTAACCATGACAAGTGAGCTGGAGATTTTGGTCTTCACCCAGCTTTCAGTGGGCATAGTTTTTGCTATGCAAGGGTTATTGGAAAAGTTGCAAATAGTGAGACGCTAAGTGTTGTATTGATCTTGATGTTGGAATCATTAATTCATTTACAGATATAGAATCGAAATTGAGACGGATCGAAGACGATCCTGAAGGTTCTGGGACTTCTCACCTGTTTAACTGCATGCAAGGAGTAAGCTCACTGGCTAATCGTGCTTTGGAGCCTCTATTTGAGAGACAGGTTTGTGAGAAATAACATTTTATATCTTGTTTGACGTTGATAAATTTCGATGCATCACACGTGACTTAGCTTGTTTTGTTTCTAAAACTAGGCCCAAGCTGAGAAGATAAGATCCGTGCAAGGAATGCTTCAGAGATTCCGAACTCTGTTTAACTTGCCTAGTACAATTCGTGGGAGCATTGGTAAGGGCGAATATGACTTGGCAGTTAGGGAATACAAGAAGGCGAAGTCGATTGCTCTACCTTCTCATGTATGTAAGAATCAAGAGTTAATTTACTGTTTTATTGTTTGGTTGAGTCAGATGCATCAAAGTATCTTTAGGCTTTAAGGGTTTTATTTTTGAACTTTGCTCATACATGCTTATTGTTCTCCTGATTTATGCTAATGCTAAAAGCTTTACTGTTAAGATTCTTCTTTATGGAGCATGCTTAACCAATTCATATCTAATTTGATATTCGTAACCTCAGTTGTTAGAGATGCAGTGATCATCATACACATGAATTTTGTGCATTCATCTGCCAATTGCCAGTTGTGGTCTTTCCCACTTGGTATGTTTGAGCATAGTCATCCCAGCCATCGTCTTCATGCTGCATTTCTGTCCAACCTTTCTTTGTTATGAACTACCAAGCAAAATCAGCAAGTTTTGGTTATCATCGTGATGGTTGTGAATGTTGAATGAATATCCACGGGCTTAATCATTTCATTATTTGATCTCATTAATCATCTAAGAACTATCTGATATTTGAGTGCTTTGGCCCTATTTTTGGGAGGCTAATCTTTCAGGGGGATAGGGTCTATAATGTTGAGCCTGTTCTGGGTGAGAAAATGAAATGAATTTTGTGAAACTGTTCTTGATATCCATGTTTAAACATGAAATGTCTTCTCCTTTTTGTCTTACAATCTCTCGCATCAATAACAGTGCCTTAGTCCGTAATAGCTAATGTCATTATATAGTTCTATTTTGCATCATCTGTAGATCTTAGATACAGCTAAGTCCCATAGCATGTGTTTTTTGGCATCACATCTTTAAAAAACAATGTCTATATTTCCCTTTTCTTTGAATCAGTTGCAGATCATTGTTCTTTCCCTTCTCACTTGTTTTTCTTACAGATGCTTACTGTTTTATGTCAATATCAGGTAAACATACTAAAGCGTGTTCTCGAAGAGGTTGAAAAGGTGATGAATGAGTTCAAAGGCACACTTTACAAGTCTATGGAAGATCCACAAATAGATCTGACAAATGTAAGGTTACTAACTTTCCAGTGCAAACTCATCTTCTGTACAGGAATTACAAAACCAACATTGATCTACGGCTTTGCTCTTCCTAGCTTATTGATAAAATAATATGGTAATAGGGATTACCCACCAGTATAAACATCCACGTATCAGTGCATAAGATAATAGGTTGTTGTTTGTTTTGTATGTCGCTTTGAGTAGAGGAAAAAATAATTATATATTAGAATGGTTTGTTTGCTATTATGTCTCACTGTGGTCGGAGAAAAGCAATCATATGTTGGAAAAACCATTCTGCGATAGAACATCACATTATAATCTAGTACACAGTGACGTTCACACCCTCGACCGCTAAGCTTACAGACTGTACCGTATGTGGTCCAGTAGAAGTTCAACATATTGCCTTAGCTGCCAATACCACTGTACCTGGTGGGTGATGGGTGGTATGTCTGGTGTGGTTATGCACAAGCAGTAAACAGATCATGCAGTGCCTGAGTGGAACTTCTTGTTTTTATGAAATTATCTGTTCCTATTTTTTTTGTTATTTTGGTTTCTACTGAAGTATTTGTCTTGTTTATTTAGCTTGAGAACACAGTGAGGCTGTTGTTGGAGCTAGAACCTGATTCGGATCCTGTGTGGCATTATTTGAATGTGCAGGTCAGTGAATCAATAAACTAATCTTCATAAGACATGCAATACATGTAATTTGTTGTGTTTTAACGTTTTAATATTTAATGAATGAATGCATAAAAAACCTGATTAACAGAAATTATACAGGTTTTGTATTAGCTTCTGATTTAAACATAATTGGATGGCCAATTTATGGATTCTCAAGCTTTGTGCCTTTGACAGAATCACAGAATTCGAGGATTGCTTGAGAAGTGCACCTTAGATCATGAAGCAAAAATGGAAACTTTGTATAATGAGATGCGTGAAAGAGCTCTCTCTGATGCAAGGTGGAGGCAAATTCAACATAATCTGACTCAATCTGTATGTGCAACCATTTGTAAATTATTTTGTTACATTTGTATATGATGTAACCCATGGGTTGGTGCTGAATAGTGATTTTACTTTGTATTATCTCTTATTACTGTCAGTCAGATGTCGACTATTCTCTTAGCCTGGGGAACATCCCTGTGCCAGTAGATTCCCAGCCTGTAGATTTGAGTGGTGAAGAAGTTGATGCTCTTAGAGGAAAGTACATCAGAAGGTTGACTGCTGTGCTTACACATCACATACCAGCCTTCTGGAAAGTTGCTCTCTCTGTTTTTAGTGGGAAATTTGCAAAGGTATTTTGGACTTTGTCTTTCTTCTTACATAATAACTTGTATTTATGGACTTCAATTGTCTTCCATGAATACTTTGCTTGCTATAACTTCTTGGCTTTGAAGCTATTCAAAATGAAAAATAGAGGAACAAAATTATCATTTTGTTATCTCTTAGCCTTGATAAATGCAGTGACAACCACTTCTCCAAGCCATGTTTCACAATTTTGTCTTGTTTTTTCTGTCTTTAAACTCTCTTTTGATATTGTATGAAGATCTGTTCATTTCATCTGTTCAAGTTAATTTCAGCCTTCATTTTGATTTTGCGGATCTTTTTTTCAGTCGTCCCAAGTTTCTGCTGAACCAAATGTTAATACTTCAGCAACTAAAAGTGAGGAAAAGGTTGGAGATGGGAGGTACTCTACTCATTCTCTTGATGAAGTTGCTGGTATGATACGAGGTACCCTATCTGCTTATGAAACTAAGGTGAGTATGGATTATGCATTTGTTTGTCTATAATTTATGGTTGAAGAATTTTTCTTTAACCCTTTTTAATTGGAACAGAAGTGGTTTGTGTTTTATGGAAATTATTTGCTTTTCTAATTTGATGCTGTTAGAAAGGTTTAAAATTTGGCCCCAGCTATGAAATTTGTGAAGAGAGCTGGTCAAGGTTGGAGGTTCAACTGAACATAAATCGGGATTTCGAAGTAAAATGTATGACTATAGTGAATGTTCTGTAGAATTAGGAAGAGAGAGAGAGTTTCTTAAGTTTCTAGAGGTAACTTAGGATTAAAATGCAAGCAACTAGGGGTGTAAATGGAAAAACTTTTCATATTTAATCCAAACTGTAACTTCACAAACGGGTCATTCCTCGGTCTTTAACCAGATCGTGACCTGTATTTGCCTTTTTCAGACAGGTTAACTGGTTCTTCAATGTGTTTGACCACCTCTGGGTTTGAGGGGTCAGTCGGGCTGTATGCCTGCATCTGGAATCATTCCCAGTTGGTCAGGTTAAATGGAGTCTGATCTGGTTTTTACAACCCTGCTTTGCAGGAAAGACTTTATTTTTGAAAGTTGTATGACCATTTGTCTTGATATTACAGAATCTCCTTGGCAGATTATCCAACTAGTTTCAATTTGTCTTTTGGAAGTTGCATCTGTTGTCTAGTGATTTTATCATTCAGACAGTTTGAGAGGTCATTCCAAATAAGTTTACTTCTGTTGCAGGTCCATAACACATTCCATGATCTTGAGGAATCAAACATTCTCCTGTCTTATATGAGCGATGCTATAAAGGAAATATCTAAAGCCTGCCAAGCTTTTGAAGTGAAAGATTCAGCTCCACCTACTGCGGGTGTGTTAACTCTTTCATTAGCTATCATTTCCTCTGTTTCCAAATTCTGAGTGTTTCACCATTTTGTGACAGTGATGGCACTCAGAACCCTTCAGGCAGAGATTACAAAGATTTATGTACTTAGGCTTTGCTCTTGGATGCGGGAAACGACAGAAGAAATATCGAAAGAAGAAACTTGGATTCCAGTATCTATTCTTGAAAGGAACAAATCTCCTTACACCATTTCTTACTTGCCTTTAGCGTTCCGCTCAGTTATTGTCTCTGTAATGGATCAAATCAGTCAGTAAGTCATTAGAGCTCACCTTTACACAGAATTATTTATGATCTTTGGAATTGATTCATAGACTAGCAGAAACTTAAAGAGCTTGCCAATGACCTCAATGTAAGGTTGGAAGTTAAGAACGTCTTGTGGATCATGTCAATTTTTTTTTTATGTAGGTGTTTTGTACTGCTTTCTTTGTAGATAAAAATTGAAAAACAGATTAATCCTTTGGCAGAGCTTGATTGCTGAAATCTTGGAGTGTTTGGACAGTGTTAATATGGGTTGAATGTGAGAGCCACATTGTCTATCAATCATATTTGTATTAACTCATACTATTAGTTATCTTCTGCATCTGCCTCCTGAATTCCTGCCTTTTTCCTCTTTTCTTATATGGATATATATAGGAGTACGACTTTTGAACATTCTACTATTTAAACTATCTCTGTGTTTCCAATATATGTCTTCTGAATTGTCTTGGACTCTTGGGAATATTTCTTTCCAGAATGATTCAGTCCTTAAGGAGCGAGGCTGGCAAGTCAGAAGATATGTTTGCACTGCTACAAGAAATTCAAGAATCTGTTCGGCTTGCCTTCTTAAACTGTTTCCTAGATTTTGCTGGTACAATGAATAACTTATTCCAATTTTATGTTTGGATGTAAGATTTACCCAGTTATTAATTTATATTCCTTCTGTGTGGGTCTCTCATTGGTCAGGCCATTTGGAACATATTGGGATTGAGCTTGCCCAAAACAAATCAAGCAAAGAAAGTTTGCATTTACAGAATGGATATTCTCATGGATCAGAAGAAAAATTATCATCTAATCTCCAAGGAATTGTTGTTGATTCACATCAACAATTGCTGTTAGTGTTGAGTAATATTGGATACTGCAAAGACGAACTTTCATATGAGTTGTTCAACAAGTATAAAACCATTTGGTTGCAGTCCAGGTAGCGAACTCTTTTCCTTCTTCCTCAAAAGTCAGAAATATCATGTATTTTTTAAAGTGTATGTACATTCTTATATGCCTCCCTTTTATTATTATTATGAAGTTGCCGTCTTTTATTTTCTACTCCAGGGAAAAGGATGAAGAGGACAGTGATATCCAAGATCTAGTGATGTCTTTCTCTGGACTTGAAGAGAAGGTCCTTGCTCAGTATACTTTTGCAAAGGTATAGCTTAACGTGGTCTTTATCTATTAATTCTCATACACTGGCACAAGGAGATCAGAATACGTAAGCTATGCTTCTGTAAGGGTCCTGATTTAGAAGGTAGCTCTAGCTTTGTCTTTCTCTGGGTCTTTTGCTGGACGAGAACTACCTATTATTTGTTTAGTGTACAAACACAAGTAGAGTACTAAATAGCTATGTTAGTGTGAGGAAATTGATTTGGGAGGTATCTCCTACTTGTGGGCCCTTTGCTGGACCGGTTATCTTTTAGGTGGTTAGTATAGTCCAAATACATGGACTTGGGGTTTCTAAGAGTGGGTATATGTGCGTTTGATGGTTCTTTATGAAATCGACTCCAAATGCAAGTACAAGTCCTTTCATTTGTTTTTGGCTCGTTTATGTAAGTAATTTTGTCTTCCTGTCAGGCAAATTTGATCAGAACTGCAGCTATGAACTATTTGCTGAACTCTGGTGTTCAATGGGGAGCAGCACCTGCAGTTAAAGTAAGGATTTGCTGATTTCATATTTGGTTATTCACGTTGCTTCTTTCCAAAATTGCACTGGGAAAAGCAATTTTATGATGACAATACATGGAATTCTAATCCCTTGCAGGGTGTGCGCGATGCGGCAGTGGAGTTATTGCACACTTTAGTAGCAGTGCATTCAGAGGTACTTCATTTTTATCTCTGGAGTATATATGCTCTATGTGTACGTCAATCATATTAATCATGACAAGTTGATTGCTTTAGTAATCACGTACTTTGTATTCTGCACTGTATCTTGTGTGGATAGTGTTTAGGAATGCTTGGTCTTGCTCTCAATAACTATCCTTCATTGTTATTTCCCAATCAAATGTATTCTGAGATATATTAATTTGCTCATATCAGGTTTTTGCTGGTGCTAAGCCCCTCTTGGACAAGACGCTAGGCATTCTTGTTGAAGGTCTTATAGATACTTTTCTGAGCCTTCTCCATGAAAACAAAAGCAAAGATCTTAGATCACTTGATGCAAATGGCTTCTGCCAGCTCATGCTTGAGGTAAAGTACAATTTTCTCCCAGTGGCAAATTCTTGAATCTTGCCACTTACACCTGAAAACTGCGTAACTGTTGTATTTTTGTGCTGTATGATGAATGACATTTTCCTCCAAGTTCCCTAATGGCTGATATTTGTTGAAGCTTTCTCCTCCACACGTGCACTCAAAGACACGATACATAATGATAATCATCTTGCTAGCCCCACGATGCCTCCCTCCCCCAAAAAAAAGGACAGAAAAAACATCCATAGGTGCATGCATATTGAAATAGAAAAAAAAAATGATGGTTGACGTTTTTGTAATTTTTTTGATGACTGTTGCAGGATAGACATTAGAATTGCCTAGATCATCTACTGGCTGCAGACATTAGAATTGCCTAGTTTGTCTATTGGCTGCAGCCTTTTCATTTAGATTTCATGTGATGCAAAATTGGGTAAAAACATTTCTTTCTTTGTCATGTTTCTCTGGCAGCTGGAATATTTCGAGACCATATTAAATCCCTATCTCACACCTGATGCAAGAGAGTCTCTTAAGTCCTTACAAGGGGTGCTGTTGGAGAAAGCCACTGAGAATGTCACTGAAGCTGTTGAAAATCCAGGGCATCAACGCAGATCAACTCGTGGGAGTGAAGATGCACTTGCAGATGACAGGCAGCAAGGAATGACTGTGTCTCCAGATGACCTGATTGTAAGAATCGTATTTTCTTTGTATCTTTTATGAGTGTGTTTTGAGAGTCTATGTTTTGAAATTATACCGACTGAGTTGAGCATAAGTTCATTTTTGTTGATCTGGCATTATAAAGTGATGTCCTGATGTTTGAAAGCTACAAAACAAAGAGCAATGGAGTGATGATGTTTCATTTTTATGAAGATGGTGTCTATGCAGCCAAGGAAATTGGCATTATAGGATCCTCTCTATGGGAAACCCTAATCATCCAGTCTGTTATATCTTTCGCATTTCTTTACCACTATATTCACTTGCTATTTCAATCTTTTGGGTTTTAGGCTCTTGCTCAGCAGTGTAGCTCTGAGTTGCTTCAGTCAGAGCTTGAGAGGACTCGGATCAATACGGCATGCTTTGTTGAGTCAATTCCCTTGGACTCAGTGCCAGAATCAGCTAAAGCTGCTTATGCCTATAGAGGATCAATGGATTCCCCCAGAAACTACATGGATTCCCCTGGAAGAAACTACAGAGGCGCGCAAGCAATGGGATCCCCTAGTTTCTCTCGGCACAGGCGTCGATAACCTGGTCAGTACTTGGAAATTATGATTTTTGTTTTTCAAATTTTTTGTGTATGTGCAATTGTTGTATTGTAGTTGTAATATATTTAGTCAAAAGAAACCCCTATTCTTTCCATTTGTAAGTTCCTCTTCATGAGCTTGTCTCTCTCAATTTCTTTATTTTGGGGTGGGGTGGGGTTATATTGTTTGTCTGTCAAATTTCTGACATATCGCAACTCCAAGTTAATAAATGCCTGCAAGTTTTGGATTATGATTCTTTGCTATTATTGGTAATGTGTCCGGAAAACCATGGCCATTGCAATTCGACTTCAGAACTTCAGGTTTCTAAAGGACGTGTTTAGAAAAGGTTGATTGTCTTTTCGTCCCTGGTTTGCAAGATGAGTACAATAAGCTTATTGCCCCGACCTCTATCTAGGTGGCATTCTTTCAAAATGTGTGACCAATGAGTGAAACACGGAGCCTTCAAGAGCCATACCGTGTCAAAATCCCGTCAGAGATTCTTTCCAACTGAGAAAAAATAAAGAAATAAGGCCAAAAACAGATTCGGTATGTAGCCCAGGTCTGCAAGGCCGAACGATTGGATAGAGTTATCACCTGGGTCATATAGATGTCCTGTCGCTCTGACAGGAATTTCGAATCAAAGGATTGATTGCTCGTTCTGTATTTAAAAAATTCCTTGAATCAAGTTGATTGTCATTGACATAATCAATGTCATCGCCGCGGATTTGGAAAAGTCCAGTTCAATCTCCATTCAACAAAATCATAATCATCTTGCATGTGAAAATGAATTAGATGCAGCAACATTGGTGTAAAAGTACGGCTACTTGGACTTAAAATCAGGGTTTTAACAATTCTAACAGCATCGGATCATTCCACCTCAAACGATTACGTAATCGAGACCATAAACAAGAATAGAAGAAAGAGGGCCAAACCCAGAGCATCTGATTCTTTCAGTCAACCATGAGTACAATTGTGGCCCTTGCCCTAAATCCCGATAGCCAGTATACGCATCAGATACACTGCGTGGTGGTCAATCAGTCAAGTCCATAACGTTAAAGAGAGTAGCTAGACTCTGACAACGTTGGTCCATCATATATATGTTCCCTAACACAAGTTTCAGCTTGGCAACTCATACAAATCAATCCAAATTCAGAAGTTAAGTCAATTACACAATGATCTAAAAATGTGGGCTATTCCATAATCTTTTACCCCCCACTATGTCAATAGTTTGACGCCAACTAAAAGCTTGGGCAGATTTTAAGGTACAGCGATGGCAATGCAAACAAGATATGAAAAAGGTTGATTTCTCTTCTAGAGGATCGCACCTTGAACTTCATCCTCCAAGTTAAGCTGTCCTTAATGGAGGAGAGACCAATATGACACCATCTCCTCTAACAAACAGGAAGGGCACTGTGCGCCTTGTAGTCTGAAACAGAAGAAAAGAAAAAGGTAAACACCTGAAGAAGTACTAAAATAGCATAAAGGCTTTCAGATTAGGATTGCTAACACTTGGAACTAATTGTCCACATAATCACTCCCACACCAGTCTCCACGTCCCTTCCTCTTCCACCTTAAGTTGATGACCCAGAACCACAATAGGCTACTTGCAGTCAGAAGTAGGGACCAGCATAGCCTAGTTATACTTTCTTTTTATATACAGAATCAACGTGTGAAATTCTAGGTTTTGCTTAGTTTTCTCTGCACCAAACCTGTTTCTGCATCTTTTTCCCATAATTTTTTATTCCAAAGTTCAGCTTTTGTTCTTAGGAATCTGTGCCTGATGGAGACTTGGTATTGCTATGACTACTGAAAGCTATTAAGAATGCTAGTGAGCTATAATAGCTGCAAAATGGTATCAAGATGCCTGTGCATTGTAAAGCAGAGATATGTGATGATTTTTTATGAAGAACTTGCAGAACTCCAAATACTACAACAATTATTCCTACAATATGAATCTATAAGATTCATTTCATATCCACCGTTTTGCAAATCCTGTAATATTTGGAAGCATTTATGATGTGCAGGTACAAGTCTCCACCCTTCAATGAAAACGTGCGATCTGAAGAAAAAATTTATTCTTCAATGTAAAATAAGCAACAAGCATCTACTAAAATAACCAGTATTCTATAACTACCTAGCCTTCAAACTATTCACCACCACTTAGCCAAGCCATCTTCTTTCGTATCTAAGTGAACCATACCATCTTTAAGCAATAACAATTGCTTCCCTTATAACTACTAGAGTTAAAAATTCGAGTTTCCAACATTCACCACAGTAAGAACCCTTCTACTCATTCAATATTAGACAATGAGTCATGCAGGCTCTGAGTTTAATATTTAATAAACATTTAGAGAAGAACTTTTAAAGTGAAATCATAACATACCCGAACAATCTCTTCATAAGTTTCATCATCAATTTCAACTGTGGTAACAATTTCTTCAACATCCCCAAGAATCATATTCAAATGCTGATCATAAGCCTGCAAAACCAGATTTTCAATCAAAATGAAAACTAGGCACTATTAAATTCATAAACCACAACTTGTTTGTTCTTGGCAATGTGAGAAACTATTGCCTCCAAGATACATGGTTGGATTAAATCATTGCATTTAACCTAGCATGCATAACCAAAGGGGAAAAACTAAGGGATTGCGTGACTCATCACTACAGCTACTGTAGCTAAAAACATACACATATACCATTAAACCCCCAGCTTTTTATTCTTCAATTTTGTTTCTTTAAGCAAATTATCACTTCTCTGATCCTCCAACGATCATTTTTCAAAATAATCCCCACCACCACCGAAGGAAAAATCACATCTCCTCATCATTTGATGTAAAATATAAAGCTAATGTCAATGTAATTGATTTAAAACAACAACAACAACAACAATAAACCATTTAAGACGAGTAGCTAAAACCCTAATAGTAGCACCCCAGTCCACACAGCAAGAGAAAGAGAATTGGAGATATGCTTTTGACATTAGAAAAAGAAAAACCCTAAGAATTGAGCATCTGGGTATCTTGAAATTAAATTCTCCAAAACGACAGACTTTAAAAGTACACGTAGAACAAAGTAGAGACGCGTACGTGGAGTTTGCCGCGAAGTTCACGATCAGAGCGGAGCTTGACGTAGATACGCTCGTCCAGGCTAAGTCTGATGAGATCCAATGGCTCTTTTACCGCACTCTCTTCTTCGCTTGCCATTCCTTCTTTCTCTCTTTCTCGCTCGCACTGTTTTTTTAGGTCTACTGCTCTAATTAAGGGCAAGCAGTGGAAGAAGGACCCGAATTAATTTTGGGCGCCTACCCGTATTGTATTCTTTTTTTTTTTTTTAATGTTTTTTAATCATTCTGGGGTTTTATTAAGTGGCCTTGCTCCTTGACTCGCTATTCTTCAAGGCTTCTCATTCTCCTTGTTGGGCTTGCTGCCCATCAAACTGGTTCAATATCCTTGTAAATAAATTCCTTTTTCTATATATATATATATATATTTTTTTTTTTGCTGTTTTTCCATTTTTCTTTTTCCTTTTTAGAATCTTAGAGGTACCGAGGTAGACTTTTGGTCTTATTTGAATTTTCGTTCTTTTAAAAAGAAAATGAATAATAAAAAATTGTTAATGCACGTTGATGGTTTATTTCGATTAGTAAGATATTAAATTTTGATATATAAAAGTTAATTAATATGAATATATTTTTATTATTAAAATAAAAAAAAGAAAAAGAAAGGGGAAAAAATGGAATGCCAAGATGACCTCCATTTTTTTCGTCTGGTAGAGTAATAAAAGAAACTTTGCCGCCTTGATATTTTGGCTGCTAAACATACAATTGGCATTGGAGAAGGTAATTCGACAAGAGAACAGTAAAAGTTGGCGGCAGGCTAGAAAATATGTGAAAGGTTTTGCATGCCGTATTTGACAACCTCATTACAATTTACAAAAAGAAAATGTCGCTGTCGTTGTTCCTGGAAAAAAAAAAGGATGGGATGTGGAATTTTCATAACTCTTGTCGTGGAAAAACCAGATTCGTTGGTGTTGCTTATAGCTTATCAAAACGATTTATGAAGAATATCAGCTCGAAAGAAGAAATTAACAAGGAAAATGATTATTCAAAAGGCAACCCGAATCATTTTGATTTTCCTTTTTTTTTTCTTTTTCAACGACAGAAGCTCCATGGAAGTTCCGCTTTTGCCCCATAGAAGTTTATATCGTATCACAAAAGGTTCCATCATGAACTTAATTTATCGTCAACAAAGTAAGGAAATATTTTATTTCGCATCAAACTTTCGGGAAGTTGTATTTATCGTCAACAAACCAATCCAACTTTCAGGAAGTTGTAAAAAAGTAATGTTCTTTCCGTCCATCTAGATGGCTAGTTAATTAATTAATAATAACGTGACTATTTTATATGTTAAATTTTAAATATTTAGATAAGTTTTAAGTGTGTATCTTTTTTTCCTTTGAATTTAGGGGTTTTTCGTAATTTAATTAGATGATGTCAAGTAAGATAATAAGTCATTTTTTAAAAATTTCAATGTTTTTTATTAGAAATACTAGAATTAGTTTGACAGTTGAACATAATTTCTACCTCGTAAAAAAAATGATATTAATTACATAGTATTCTTGTATCATTTAAAATGTTATATTAAAAATACGTTTACTGTAAAATTTTACCATATTTGTTCAAAAAATAAAACATCCACACATTTGTTAAAAAAAAAGAAAAAGAAGATAGAATAAAACTTCTACGCATGTTAGCATGATCAAATTATAAATTAGTACTTTTCATTTGTTAACAAAAACACACACACACACACACATGTGTGTGTGTGTGTGTGGCAATGTTACGGATCGCCAGCTAATTAAAGATATGTATTTTGATCATAAATGGTCTGTCCAAAAATCTAGCTAGTTGCAAAACCCTTTTTTTTTTTTTTTTTGCTTTATCATCATGTTTATATATTTGTTCATATTACAATCTAATTGTGTTGTGTGCTACTGATCTCTTAAAAACCTAATGAGCGTGTGGCCGTGCGAATGAGATATAAAAGCTTATATTATCACAATAAATAAAATATATTCAAACTTCAATATTTCTCCAATGTTTTGGATTCAATACGTGCTAATTACAAAAACGAGAATCGTATATATTTTTGGACTCAATCTAAAATCAATTGAATTTTAAGATTATTCAATTTAGAAAATACATTTAAAAATATTATAACCCTTAAAACCAAATATATATATATATATATATATATATATATATATATATATATATATATATATATATATCAAGCCATTCAGTGAATTCTAATATATTTTTTTCAATTAATAGTCCTTTCCACCCCCTTTCAGATCGTAAAAAATATTGTCAATCACAACTTCACCTACAAATTAACTTATAACCACAAATGCAATTTCTTTTTAACAGTGAACCTACCCGTATTTATTCGACAAACCTTCCGTGAAGTTTTTCCCCAGTCATGGTTTCAACTTTCATAAAATTTCTTGCACGACAGAAACATCAAAAGTAGCTTTATATATTTAAGTGTCTTTTACATCCCAAGAGCACCTGAGCTTTACCGTTTTTGTTTTTCTTTCAAAGTAACGTATTTTTAAGAAAACATAAATTTCTCTCTCCCTATGGATAAAGACAAAAGTGCAATCATCGTTTTATCAACTATCCCTCTGTTTTATTTGTTATAAAAAAACAATAGGACGCCATTCCAGTTACCAAATTCATGAATTTCGTCCTATCGTCATTAAAATATTAAAGTTCCAGTTAAGTGGCCTAAGTATATATCAATATTTTATTTCAATTTGCACGGCCCCCAAATTTCGTTCTAAAAAATTATATTTGATTCTGGTATGCATTGTAGCAGAATTTATTGATTTCTACGTTATTATTTAATATGCAAAAAATGGTCGAGAAAATTAAAATTTTTTTTTGATAATAGAAAAAAAACTCTTGATGTATGGTAAATTTATAATTTATAAATTATTATTTTTGAAAAACAAATTAATTATTTAATATTTTAATTAAATTGATTATGTTTAATTTAATATTATTTTATTCAATAAAATTTTAATTTTTTATCAATCTTTTTATAAAATTTACTTAATTTTTAATTTATTAAAAAATAATATATTCAATGATAAAAATACTAAATTATAATAAAACATTAAAATATTAAAATTAAACAATTAATTTTTTTGAAAAAGGGACTAATCAGCTAGTTCATGTCTCGAAACTGAGAATAATTTATAATTTACTCATAGCAAATTGGAGAGTGTGCGTTCTCACGAAAAAAACAATTGTGAGTGTGACATAAAATAAAAAATATGCCGAGACTGGGCCCAGAGGATCTTCCCATTCTTTGAACCTGCTCAAAACCTCTCTTTGCAAACATAGTAGCATCATAAACATTGACACTCGGAGGCAGATAGGCGAAAGGTTTCTGAGATCTAGAGTCCTGGATTCTCGCCTTAATTTTAGGACAACATAGAGGCTTGATTCTCTTGCTTCACGGATTTTTTTTTGTTGCAGATAAGTGGCTTTGCTTCTCTATTTGATAAAACTTAAGCACTGATTTTCTTTTGTCTTGTTTTGTTGTTCTTCAGTTTTCGGGTGCTTTTTTATTTCATTATTTTGGATTTCGAAGTGGGTACCTTAACGAGTGTTTCGGTTTTTGTCTGAAGTTTGAGTTTTGAAGATGGGTTTATGATTTTGTATGGCTTTCTGAGAATCGAAGATGCATGCTTGATCATCTAAGTAGCTCAAGAAGTCAAAAATAAGAAATGGGTTTGCTTTATTTTGGTTTGCTCTAGGTGTGAACCATACATTGTTATCAATTATTTTCTGTTTTTTTTTTTTTTTTTGGTTTTTGTATAACCAAGAAGGTGATTTAAAAGGGGCAATGGGTTTATCAGTGTGATCTAAATTGTTGTTTTAAACAAGAAATGGATGGGAATTTGTCGCAAGGAGGTATGATTCCTGGTGGGGCTCCTTTTGGAGGGCTTGACTTGCAAGGATCAATGAGAGTTCATCATCAAGCACAACATCCACACACTATGCACCACCACCAGCACCATCTCCATCGCCAAGGATCTTCACCTCACCCCTCAGTTCACGATGGTTTCCCACTCACAATGGGGGCCATGCACAACTCTGATCAAAACATTTCCTTGACTGATTACAATAGAGGAGAAAGGGGGAAAAATTCAGTGAGTGATGAGGATGAGCCGAGCTATACTGAAGAAGGTGCCGATGGTCACAATGATGCAAGCAGAGGGAAGAAGGGGACGCCGTGGCAGCGTGTTAAGTGGACCGATAAGATGGTGAGGCTCTTGATAACTGCTGTGTCTTATATTGGTGAGGATGCTACTTCGGATTGTGGTGGTGGAATGCGTAGGAAATTCTCAGTTTTGCAGAAAAAAGGCAAGTGGAAATCAGTTTCAAAAGTCATGGCTGAAAGGGGTTTTCATGTTTCTCCACAGCAGTGTGAGGATAAATTCAATGACCTTAATAAAAGGTATAAAAGGCTCAATGATATGCTTGGGAGGGGCACCTCTTGTCAGGTTGTGGAAAGCCCTGCACTTTTAGATGTTATAGATTTTTTAACAGAGAAGGAGAAAGATGATGTTAGGAAGATATTAAGCTCAAAGCATCTCTTCTATGAAGAAATGTGTTCCTACCATAATGGAAATAGGTTGCACCTGCCTCATGATCCAGCTTTGCAGCGTTCCTTACAGTTGGCTCTAAGAAGTAGAGATGATCATGATAATGATGATGCAAGGAGGCACCAACATGACGATCTTGATGAAGATGATCAAGAGATTGAAACTGATGATCATGATGAATTTGGGGAGAATCATGCTTCACATGGGGATAGCAGGGCCATACATGGGGTGTTAGGTGGTTCTACAAAGAGGTTGAGACAAGGCCAGGGCCATGAAGATGCTTGCTTTGGGAATTCGTCTCAGGACCCTAATAAAGGGTCTTCTTATTCTCATCCACTGATTGCTCAAGTTGATATGAATCAAGTCTCACCTGAAAGTTCAAGAGCAGCTTGGTTGCAGAAGCAGTGGCTGGATTCTCGCACACTTCAGCTGGAAGAACAAAAGCTACAAATTCAACAAGAGATGTTGGAATTGGAAAAACAGCGATTCAAGTGGTTAAGATTTAGCAAGAAAAGAGACCGTGAACTAGAAAAGCTAAGGATGGAAAATGAGAGGATGAAGCTTGAGAATGAGCAGATGGCATTAGAGTTGAAACGCAAGGAAATGGGTGTTGATTTTAATTGATTGTCTGGTCCTGTTGATTTGTTCATCATAACAGCTGGGCTTGCAAGAAAATCAATTTTCTGTTTTTGGTAAGCCGCTTCTGGAACTGGAGTATCATTTAAGGGTATCTAGTGGGAAATTGTTACTCTGCCTGCATATATTGTGTAAACTTAGGATAGTCACAATAATGTCTCATACTGCTTTGTTTTGACTCTGGTGAAATATCTTTTTCTATGATTAAAGATAGTGGCAATATTTTTTTCGGGAAAATGTGTTTGATTTCATAGTTGAAGTTTGAATATCTAGATCAGTTTGATTTTCCAGCTACCTATTTTTGCTTCAAGTGTTTACCTTTTAGTAGTGGCTAATGATTGTTGCAGAATGTTTTCAATGAAGTCTAAATTCCCAGGGTTTCGTTCACTGTCCCCCAAGGTCATAGGCTTAGGAGTAGTGAGTTTTTACTTGAATGACTAGTATTTCCTTTTTTGCTGTTTAACTACACTTATCTGGCTGACATTGTGATGGACAAGTTCCTGAAGGTCCTTTCACCATGGGAGATGTGCTTTTGTGTAAGAGTCAATTCCTGACTCCCCTCTAAAAAGTGTTTTCTCTGCTTGCTGTGGCAGATCTTGACAGTTTGAGTTTTTCCAGTAATTTGTTTAATGGGTCTATTTAATTTTAGTGTCGTAATTTCCATAAGACATCAACATTGTGCCTGTTTAGCAGGTTTATTTGGTTTAGCAACTTATACTTCCACAGGTTATCTTAAATGTTCTGAAAGATGACATCAGAGTTTGCGACCGATAACTGCAAATAAAAAGGCATTTGAACTGCAGCATGCAATTGCTTGGGGTTTTTTTGGTGGAATTAGACAGAAAATTGAATGGTGGAAATTTTGGCTATCATGGGGATTTTTTACTTTTTAAAACTGCTTACTAAATAGTCTTTTTATTTTATTTTATTTTGTGAGTGGAATATAATATTTGAACATCATCATTAACGTCACTTCTGCTGCTGCTGTTATTGTTTGCTGCTCATGTTCTTAGATATTTAGGCCATTATAAATGTTGTCTATTCAACTTAGTGTTCAAGAATATCAGCTAGCAAATATCATTTTAATATCATTGAGCTAAATAACTTGCTACTGCATTAGAAACAATCTTTTTATGAACAGAAGAACCAGCAGGTTTTAATATCTGTACCATTAACTTTCATTCCACAAATGAAATTCTTGAGTCTTAAGAGAATTCCAAATGAACAATATAAGAGCAATATAGACAATGGATCATTGTATGGTGATGGTAAAAGTCTTGAGTTTGCCACTACAAGACTGCAGGTTTGAGTCTTAAGGACAGCTACTTGATGCAAAAATCTTGAAGGTAAGACCTTCTAGATTTTTTCTTCTAGATCCCTACTTTGGTAAGTCCATAGCAGAAATGCTATCACCTTTTTAACACCACATCCTTCCAAGTAATAACAGTGTTCGGCAAGTAGAAATTTTTTTGAACTAATTTTTAGTAAAAGTTCTTTTGTTTTAATACAATTCTTTTTTCTTAGCTTCTTAGTAGAGAACTGAGGATTACACATCCATGCTTTGGTGGACAAGGAATATGTATGTATGGATAAACTGACTGGACATGCAGAATTTTACCAGTATTCCTTAAAAAGGTGGTTTGATATATCTCAATGTGATTGAGTGCTTATTCATATTGATTTGGAGGCTGCCTTGTGTTTCTTTTCATGTCTTACTAAAATTTGTTCTCTTATTTATGTGTGTCCTGTGTCTTAATAAAATTTATTCTCCCATTTATGTGTATTGTCAAGCATGCAAATGCTTGTAGCCATTAAGATTTTCAACTTGGATTCTAGAAATTAAAATATAAGTTGTAGTCTTCTAAATTGCTGTTGCCTTACTCACTGAATACAAGTGAACATGTCAAAATAAAAGTGCAGTAGTAGATTGTATTTTTCTTATGTAAATTTTTATACGAACGTTATAGAAATGAAAATTGCTGACTCGACAAATGACCTTTCATAACTGAAAGTGTCCACAAACAAAGTTTTTTAGATTGTTCTATTTGAATGAAATGATTAGCATTGGACGATTTATTGTTTAAGCATGTGGTTTAAAAGGCTACCCAAGTATGTGCTCAATTTAGTCCAGATACTGCATGAAATTATGGTTTCTCTATTCATTTCTAATTTGATAATTGAATGATTTTAGCAAAGTATGTTTAAATTAGTAAGCTGCAATTAGTGAAGATGTTCTGGTGTGCCCTTTGGGTTGCTTTTTGGGTAGCATATGGCACATGCAGGCGAGTAACTGTAAGATCATGCCAGATTAATGGGTGATGAAATTTCTTGATGTTCCACTCGGGTATGATTCTGAAAATGGGACTTCAATATTTAGATGATGCATTTTCTTTTTCAGGGAATGCTGGAAGCTTCAATATTTGAATTCTTAGAAATTTAGTTTAGAATTTAGAAATTGAATTGAATAATTGACACTGGCTGGATTTATCCTCCTTTTTTCACAACTAATGAAGTTTTATCCATCATGTAGTGCATACAAATCACCTTCTGTAGGTTTAGAGAGGAAAAGATGTTACACTTTGGGAGAAGCCAGAGTGTGCAGGACTTGACCTTGATTGGTGATTAGTTTGCGAAGAACTGCAACTGATTGTTATTAGAAGATAAATTGTTCATTCATGGTACTAGTTTTGCTTGGTTTACTTATTTATATAGTTGATGGTCATCTAGTTTTGCTTGATACCTGCAGATTATGCTTTTATGGTTCACCAAGTGCTTGCTAGGGAGATATGTCTAATGATTCTGGAGGATTGTCAAGTAAACTCTTGTTCCTTCCACATTTTTAATTCCTATGATTAACATTTGCTTATCCACATAAGGTGGTGCATGGTTTCTTTCCAAGTTAGTGTTTTTCTATTTAGAGGAAAGAATATTTGGGAATGGCTCGAGGCTTTTCAAATGTGTCAATACTAGAGTTCCTTCAGACCTTGAATCATGATGTTTTTTTTTTAACCAGATCTTTCAAACTTACTTGAAAGGTTCGACTATAACTGAGTATGGTTGCTTTGTAAACAGAACCAATTTCAAGGTCTTTTTCTTCGTGGAAGTTTAATGGCAGTATTTGACTAAGCCAATGCAATGGAAGACTGATCAATAATTGCAGCTTTCATCTATTTTATTCAAATGGTTACCCAGGAAAAACATTACTACTCTGACCCTCTTTTGTTTGCTATAAACTGCAACTAGTAGTTGCATGGTTTTTTCATGGCTTAAAGATTGACAATAGCCTTGGTTTATCTTGTGCATTTAGATGTATGGTGATGCATTCCTGAATTTGTTGTAAACAAATGAAAATGAATAGCATTCCTCCTATCATGACCGCAAAGCTCGGCCTTTCTTCAAAATTTTCATGTAGAGCTTCTGATGATTACAATGAAGTTCGTGATTGTGCGTCTTCTGGTGTTTTTATATTGATATCCATTGCAACCTTTCTCCTCTGATGAATTTACGAAGAATTGACGAAGAATTGTACAGGCTTCATGGTCTTGTCCAACAATTTTTGCATGGAAGAATATAACAGAGAGTCTGGTTCTGAGATATGGCTCACTACCATCTTTAAGTAGCCTACTTAATCGCTCAGTGTCCTAGAAAAAGCCAAGCTCTTTGGCTGCAATGGCAACTGCGGTCTTTCATTTCTCATTGGGGTGCAGAGTTGCAAACAAGTGTCAATATCAATTTGTACTTGACGTGGACTATTTCTGCTGCTAAGAGTACTGTTGGTGCAACAACACTTGAGCCGCTGTTTGTTGACACAAAAATTACTGGCAGTCAAAATTTTATTTACAGACGATCAGAAACCAATTGCCAGTTGGTCCTAGTGACACTGTCCTCTTGAAATCAAGTTGGGAGTTTATGATCCTGGATTGGGGCCTGACTCCTTAGTTCAACAATTTTGGGGGTCAGAGAAAGAATAAAGAGAGCATGTTTTTTTGTAGTTATAAATCACTCATTTTAACTGAAGTTGCCTCGATGAGGATCATATTTTCATAGTTGGAATTTCAACTCTTGATATTTCATTTCTTGCAGAATCCTACGTCATGATTCCTTTGATTGCCTGTAATAATTGAGTTATAGAATGCTAATGACGGAGAGCATCAAGTTGAATGAAAATAACACGGTCTTCTTTGACTTGATGTAGCAAAATGCATGGTCGTACTCGTGAAGACACCAGGCTCATGGGTATCTCTAGGAATAACCTTTTGAAGTTCTAGGCACTGGTATTGTTATCGGGAACTTTCATTGTCTTCTCTGACATCATGGATTTTCATAGGCTGTTCCATTGGCATGGCAGTGCAGGATTCACTTTGCTGACCCCATCTTCTCTAATACTGAAAGTAAAATGTAAGAGATACAGCAAATAATCATATTGTCATGAAACAGAAAAGGCTGGATCACCATGGGCTAGGGGGATGATAAATTAGCTCGATATATATATAGCCTCACGAGGTATGTTGTTTTTATTTGACACTTGGCAAGTCTTCCGTCACATCAGCAAAAAGTGCTTAGATAAACTTGCTTTTATGGCGCTGCTGAAGAGCGAAATTCTCTTGCTTTTCTCGGCATGAATCATTCTTAGTACTGGCTAGTGTTTGCAACACCAGTTAGGCACTTTTTGCTGCAGCAAATAGTTAGGCTAATGATAGAATGGCTGGTTTTGCTGATTTTAATGCATATTGTGATGACACTTTTTTTATGCTATTGCAGGCTCGCATTAGTGCTCGCTTTTGAGTTGATGGATTAGTAGTGGTAGCTAGCAAGGATAATATTTTGGCTTGAAAGTGGGCCGTTTGGAAGTTAACCTACAGAGTATTACCAAACACAAAAATCTTTTAGCAGAGCTAGGCTTATCCTGTTATCCAATTTGTGTCTCACTCTCGCATCAAAGAGAAGTGGACATGAGTAACAAAAGGGCAAAAAAAAGTAGAGAAGTG